TACACATAAAGCTGATGGTGCCTCTTGTGAAGTCCTTCTGAAGCATTCCCCCTACAGTAGCAGCAGCATAATAACACCCACGTCCCTCCAAATGGATCACATAAGAATAAGCTTAGCTCAAGGAACAGAAGAGAGATATATATATATAGCCAGATACATAAAGCCATTTGGCACTCACGTATTGTTTTTACCTGCCTAAATAGATTCTGTTTCCTATAAGACCGGACTCCATTAGCACCTTGCATTGTTATACTATCTGTACAATTATTTCAGGTACCAGTATCCAAGAAATAAAGACTTCAGGATTACGATGGCTTTTGAGTTTTAAGCTGTCTAAGATATCAAATGCTGCCACCTTTGTAGTATCTGTTAATGATGGCTATGGAAACGAACATTTTGTTTCCATTTTAATTTGTATTAGTAAGGTGAGTGATCAGTGATGTACAGCCTTGGCACGCTGCTGAGATGATTGTGGCAGGACCTACTCCTCAGCTCCACTTTTTTTGGGCTTTTACTAGGTATGAGAAACTGCATTGCTCTGTACTTGGCTCAGCAGAGTGCAACTTCTTTTGCAAACGTCTTGTTCAGGAACATAATGAAATCTTTTGATTTTGTGACAATTAACATTGCAGAAATAAAGGTTCTTCATCATTATTTTCATGCTATCCAAATGCTGTAGGAATACCCTATTAGTTACCATTTGCTGAAAGAAGTGGGGTTTGGTTTGCTTTGCTTTTGCCCTTCTATGCATCAAAGCCCATAAGGGCTCCTTTACTGTTATTGCTTGCTGCTGACTTTGAACCACACCTGTGCTTGCAGACTGGTGGGAAGCCACAGAATAAAAGTCGATACTAAGTAGTTTTATTCTACATTTCCTGATATTATTCTTGCTAAAAACATTGTAGGCCTGAAAAAAAAAATCAATAAACACAATTTTTATCATCATGGCTTTGATAGTCAAGCTCCAAAAAAATCTGAAAAGCAATTGGCTCTACTTTATGCCAGTCACAGAGACTAGAGCCGAGTAGGTTCCATCCTCATCATCTCATGCGACAAGAAAGCTGAATGCCACGGTGAATTAAACCCCCACTTTCCTCTTCTGGCAGCTTAAAATGAGCCCATTTGGTGTATATTTAGCAAGAACACATAACAAAACAAGCGTGCAGCAAGGATTTCACTCTTCCAGTGTTCATGGCACTGTGATGGCTATTGTTTGCCAGTCCATAAGGAGGTAATTCCTTTCCAGGGCAGTTCAATTCAACAGGATTTTTGCCATTAGCTTCAATGAGACTTGGGTTCCTCAGCTCCTCAAGTTCTTTTCTCTTTATCTCCCTTGATTTCCCTTCTCTAGCCTGCCTTCCTGCTTTATGTCTTTCATAGAGACTGGATTCCAGTTTCACCAATTCCTTTTCCTCTTTCTGATGGAATTTTTTCCCATCCTCAATATGGACATAAAATGTAAAGGGATCCTCATTTCCATGGTGCCATCTCAAATCTTTGACTGTTTCTGTGATCCACAATTCAGTGGCTTGATAAAAAGAAAGGAATAGTTTAAGAAATAATCTTCCTAATCTTCATGTGTTTCACTGTCATAGACGGCACAACACTGCACTTGTTTTTGTGAAGAACGTATTTATAGGCAACAGAAAAATCATCATATACTATGAAAAAAAAAAAATCAAACCTGCGTAAACAGTTCACACTGAGATCCACAGTTGGTGTCAATTTTAAAGATTCATCTTGTGATTTGAATTCTGAAATTTTCAGTTAGTTCAATACAAAATGAAGATGTTGAAGGATGTATCCAGTGAGGATGACGTCTGTGGCAACACTGGGAGTTACTCATGTGTGGGTAAACCTCAAACATCCATAAACGTGTTCGCCTTTCACCTGAGTGACTCAGTTCCCAACCTTAATCTCAGCAAATAGAAAACTATGTAAATCCGCATTTGCAGATACCAGTATCTTCCTGGGTACACACTAAGCATGTTATAATGCTTCTCTTATACAGAAGAAGTAGGACTTTCATTTGCAAAGAATTTTCATCTGTGACATAAGCAAAAACAATGTATAAAAACATTTTCTCCACTTGTAAATAGATAATTAATTTGAAAGTTTCACTTAAGAAATACAGTAATCTTAATTTTTCATAGATGGTTCTGTTGCTGACAGTAAAGGAATCTTTCAGGAGCTGTGAATACAGAGGTTGGAGACTAGCTTTTGAAAAAGCATACTGCAGAATAGATGTTATGTTAGGCAGATCCTACATTTTTCCCATGGAAGTTCTTTCTTTCTTAAGTTTATTCAATGAAGATAATAAATTATGGAAAACTGAAGTAGAAAATATTAAAAGCAACACATTATGTAAAATTTACACACTAACTAAAGCAATACATGAACCAGGTTGGTATTTTAACAAATAGCTGGTTCTGGAACATAGGAAGTAAGGTGGTAGACAATTCAAATACATTTGCAGGAGTTGAAGCAAATTACGTTGCTTAGGTTTCATGATCAGGCACAGCTAATCTACTCCTATAAAATTTTTGCAAATACAGATCTAGGGTATATTTGCATTACCCTGAAATAAAACCACTTTGTCATTTATGCTTCAAAAGAAATACTCTTTGGAAAATAAATGGATATATAATGCTAAAATACGTGCAAGGCATTTCCTAAAACTTTATAATTCTGATTTTTTTAGACATCTTTCATAGTATCCCAACAAATATTATTTTACTTTGAGCGAAGTCAAATTTAACAGTATCTCATACAGGATTTCACAGAACACACTACAAGAAAAATCAAACTTCTACATCCATTATATTAATTCAGCACACAACTGCTACAGATTTTCTAGTACAATACTTGTTTTCTTCAGGTATACAGCGTAATCGAAACCTCTGAAAACTATTTTCTTCTGTTGTGTTGACTTTCCAATCACTGAATAATTCTTTAGGTAAAGTAGCAATGCGTAAATGACCTAGTTTTACTGTACCTGAGTGTCAAAGACCAAGTCAAGTTGGTATCAATACTGATGAACAGAAGTTATAATTTTAAGACCAAGCTGTTGTATATTTTATCTTCATTATGGTGTTTTTGGCAAGACCACGATGCACTGAGGACCCAGTGTAGGTGCAAGAACCCTGTGACAACTCTCTGATGCACTGTCTCAACATATTGCTAATCACAACTGAATGCAATGACAAAACAATCCAAAAAACTTCTTGGGGAACACAATCAACCATCAAACAAATTTATCATAAGTCTTAATAAAAAACCTCATTGGGCAGGATTTCCCACTTACCACTGTTTGAGGTCAGAACTTCAGCTGGAGTCTGACTTCTACTGAAGCTACGCAGAAGGACATGGACATCAGCTGGGGATCCGATGTGTGGTTTCCAGTACGTCACCGCGCCAGTAAAGAATGAAGCAAGTACCTGTTATTTCAGGCATGCAGCACCAGTGTTTCTGGACAGATACACCTTACAGAGGTCTACACACTACAGCTGCAACTAGATCGCAGTTTTGTGATGCACTGCTACACCTCTGGCAGCGGCTTAAGCTTTTGTGCCAAGTGATGGCACAAGTGATGTGCCAAGCTTTTGTGCCAACTGATTACATGCTCAGGGACCCTGCCTTGAGCTCCACCTCGTTCCCCACACCCTGCTATGGCAATGGCTTGGTCCCAAACCATGAGGCCATTCCCGGTGCCAGGAAAGAATCAGCTGCATGCAGCAGTCTGTGCCCATCAAATCAACCTCTCCTGCCACCTCCAAAGGAAAGGTGCAGGCCAGATGGATGTCTCCTGTGGCACAGTCTGGTCTACAGGCTCCAGTCTGGATTATGTTGGCGGCTCTAACACATGGCGGTCTGAACTCAAGCGTGAGGGCAGAAGACACCCAAAAAAAACCCTCTAAGCAACATAGAAAGGTAACATTTAACTTATTCTACTATCTTAATATCTGCTTCAAAGCTGTAATTACAAAACAAAAATATACTCAAGACTTACGCCCGATTAAGTTGTCAAGGCTCTAGCACTCTTCCGTGGCAAGATACTTGGTGCTGTAGTACACTGCAGCACTTTAGGATCTGGCTCCAGAGTGTTTAAAGCTCTTTCAAAAAGGTTTTGTTGAATAAAAGATATAGTGGATTTTTTTTTTTTTTTTTAAACTGGGATGATGGGTGTACAGTAAGGAAGGGCAAGAACAGGGTGATCAGTAAGAGTATAGGGTTACAAAAATGCAAGAGCAGAAAAGGGACCATCACCTACTTGGTTGTGATGCACGGCAGGACTCTGCCGACCACAGAACGGCTAACGTGCTGGAGGACAGCAGGCACGTAAGACAACTTGTATTTGTGCAGGCCCCAACAAACATATGACTCATAATATTCATTCCCTTCACATATTTGGATCTTATGTCCTTTGTAACAAATGTATCTCACCCCTGAGGTGAATGCTTTTGTTGGTACAGATTTTCTTCATCAGCTCTCTCTGGAAATTGGCAGGCTAAGAGACGTTTTCGTTATCACAGTTCATAAAGCACCCAGAAATCAGATCTTTAAGGCAATCAATTGTAATTATGTAAAATTTTAGGCTGCATCCAACTCTCCCACTTTGCTCATGCTCCTGTAACTGCATGATTTCAGCAGAACAGATTCTTATCAATAGAAATAAGATCAGAGATGGCCCTAAAATTACGTTTCAGGGAACACAAGAAACAACGCAAGAAAGAGAATGTATTTGAGAACATTTTTAATAAATAATGTGACAAAAATTACTTTTCTGATTATTGGATCCTCAGTATGCAAAATTATGGCTAAAATATGAGGTTTCTTACATGAACATAATGAAAACATTAATCACATGGATTGTTCCTTTAGTACTGCACACCCTTTCTATGGAACCTTTCTTTAAAAATTAGCTAAATGAAAAATTTCAGTCCTCGGTAAACACCAAAACACTTTTTTTTTTTTTTTTCTTTTTTTTTTTTTTTTTTTTCCATTGGGGCTAGTCCTGATAGCTGTCAATAAACAAACACACATTTTTCCATTAGCACCAATGACAAAGAAATTTTATAATTACAAAAAAGATCATAAAATCTACAGACAGAGGACATCATTTGGCAAATTCAATGCAACTAATGCCTCTATTTCAGCTTTAATGATACTCCAATGTTGAGAGAGGCTACAGCAAAATTGATAATTTTCTGTAAGTCCAGGAAGAGTGAGAAGTGTTTTGATTATGGCCCACATTTACGTTTTTTACTTTACCATCTGTCATCGTTCAAATATTCCAAATACAAACATAGAGCATTAACAAAAAGATGAAAAATATCCCAAACAAATGCTTAACATTTTCAATAAGACAAAAAAAAGGTTAATAGTTACAATGGTTTACAAACAAAGTTTAATGATTGTGCTTTTAAAACCAAAAAAAAAAAAAAGATAAGCAGTGCATTACAAAAAAATTAATCGCCAAGATCAAACAAAACTTCTTTAAGTGGCACTTCTTCTTTAAGTGAATTGACACAAGTAGAGGTCTGAGATTTGGGCCAGTAACAGTTAATGATATTACCCGATCGTTATTAAAAATGTCCATTGATTTTTCCTGCTTATTCTCATAAGCATTGTTGAAGCTGAAAATTAGAAAAAGTTTCAAATAAACTTGCTCATGCCATGATTAGGCAAATAGCAATCACATTGGCTTACCTCCTGCCTATCCCAAAGGACATTTTTAATAAGAATGTACTTAATGATGAAAATGGAAAGACAAATCAAAGTACCACAGGGGATTTAAAATGAGTACATATTTACAATAAGAGCCACCTCATCCCAAATTAATTTTACTTGCATTTGTAAAACTGTATCATCTGCAAAAGGTTAGCAAGAGACTGGCAGAAAACAAGACACACAGTCTGTATTGAAATTGCAAGATACCATTTGCACTAACTGCAGACTACAGTGAAACCCCTAGAATAAAAGAATGTTCTGCATGGTGTTCACTTTGGGGATCTTTTTAATCAATGCTGTATTACTTGCAATGTTATCGATTGGCTCACTGGTGTACCGGCAGTGTACTAAGTACCGCCTCGCTGGGGAGAAACCTCGGGATCCCAGGCTCCGGAATCCCCTTCTGTTCTAATCCTGAAGCAGCAGCTGGCCCAAGTACCACAAAGAGCAGCTTACCTGCCCTCTTGGGCAGCGAAGGTGATGCACTTAGCGTTACGGAATAGGCAAGGGCCATTCCTAATAAGGAGGGTTTACAAAGAAAGAGTAAAATAAAAACTAGCATTCTGATGGCATGAAGAAAAATGAAAAATTGTACACTCTGATTGCACTGAACATTATTTCTGGCATCAAACATCATCAGACTTGAGGCATCTTAAGTGATTATTTTTTTTTTCTGATTAGATTTTAAAAGCTTGTTACAGTACATGTCGTTGTCTTCAGCTTTCCGTTTCCTGTATTAAAAAAAAAAAAAAAAGACATAAATGACTACATTAGATTTTATTATTTAAAGTTTGTTTCACATACTACTTAAGAGATTTCTTACCTTTAAATAATAACTACTACTTCTAATTACATGCAGCAACGTGACTGCATGTTGGACACCCTTTCTACAATCAGGATTTAAATTGAATTAATATCATTAATGGCAGAAAAAAAAGAAGGAAAAAAGTTCATGCCTTAATATTTAATAAAATCTAGAACGTTACACTTTCAAAAAATATGAAAGGCAATATCAAGGTGTTCTTAGATGCTCTAATGCCTCTAATGCTTTATTTTCACTTTTGAAAGAATCTGTAAAATGCAAAGTGCACATTTAAATATTGTATTTCTGCAAGTTCTGTTCCATTGCTTTTAGTGTGGTGACAGTTATACCATGCTACATATTACTTGTTTTTTATGTTTTTGACTCATTCTTAAAGTTTCTTTTCTTGGATTGCACTAACATTAAGAGATAGATAAATGTACTAATTTTTCTGAAGAGAAATATTTCTGGTTCAAAAGTGTTTTTTCTTGGCATCTGTCTAAGCACAGAAAATAGCCTTATTCTAGTCATCTTCAGTAGTACAACTGCAGTTACCTCCATCTCTTCTTCTTCCTCTTCTCCTTGTTCATACGCTCCCAGTACTTGCATTTCTGCAACATTCCTTCGGGCTATATTTGCTTGATCTGCCCTCTGTCTACCTCCTGATCCTCTTGATGACATAGAGCTGGAGGAGCTGGGATCTCTAGGATTATTTGATGTCGGAAACGTTGGTCTAGAATATGGCAGGATGTCCTCTGTATGATTAAATATATACATTGTTATGTTTATAAGCCTAGAGACAGTGTGATTCCAAAATTTCTGCATGCAGTTGATTTATTTTACTTTTTATGATCCTCAGTAGGTTTAAAGTGGTGCCTGACAGGAATATAAAATACACTGTTTCCATAATAGAAGCTTTCTCGAGGAAATTTATAGTATTCATGTGGTAACATTCACCATAGAAAAACTAATTCCTGATTACTGTCCACTTCATTTCAATTTGTGATCACTGCTCTATGTTCTACAGGAAAATGAAGAAAAAAACCAACCCTTGTAGTATATTTTCGATACGACTGAGTAGGAGGAAATGACACTACATGCATGATACTTGCAAGGAGCTCACTGCATCTAAATATTAGACCCTGTATTTCTCAAATTCAGTTTCAAGCAAAATTAGTGGGCATGTTTTACAATTTCACCACCATCCTCTTAAGGTAAACTTGTAATAACTTTTCTCTATAGTAAGCCACTGTAATCAGTACCAATCTCTTACCAATGCGCCCATTTAACCAACTTACTGCCCAGTCACCCCTGATATTAACCTCAGACACCTGTACGAAGAAAGGACCAGGCATTTGTACGAATCTGTGTTGAAAGCCTTAGTGAACACTTGGCAAATTCCATTAATCATGTACCATTAATTAGTAATCTTACCAACTTCCATAAACAAGAGATTACATTGATCAGGTCTGATTCATATAATGCCATGTCAGTTAGTATTTATAACTAATGCATTACTACTATGGCTTTCTTATTTTTTAAACAGGACCAGGTGTACAAATAGACAAAAATAGGCCAAGTGCCAATTCTTTGGTAGAAAAGTTAACTAACTGACAGATCTACTATCTGACTTCACTCAGTTCCCTTGTAAATTAGATTATAATTAGACAGATTAGACGTAACAAGACTATAAATTTACGGTAGGGGCAAGGACACTGATCCTTCCAGCTCTCAAGGAATATTTCTGTTTGGGCTTCCTCAGCGTTAGCTTTAATACATGATGGGTGCATAAGGAAAGCAAGATAGAAAATATATGTTTTTCAGGAGCTTTTGTTTCCATTTTACCCTAATGAGAACCTGCAATGTGACCTGCATTAGCACATATAATTACAACAAACGGTGACAATTCAGCAGACCGAACTTCACTGAGACCTGGAAAAAGCCGCCTCTTCCTGTGAACAACACGCAATACTTCATGAAAACCAGAGAATGCAAAATAACCTTGAAGAAGATGAGTTTTTGCTGGTGTGCCTTCTCGTTTTGGTGCTTTATTTCCTCGCAGTTTCCCATCATTTTGCTGTTCCTGTGATTCTCTCCGCTCTCCTGAATTTGTCCGCACGTCTGAATGCTGTCGCCCATCCACCCCGTCCCTCCCCTTGTAGCTTGCTCCTTTCCTTTCCGCAGATCTGTCTGTCCTCGCTTCTATAGAAGCAAGTTTTGGCAACATGACCGGCCGCACCTCCAGCTGTGATTTGGACTGGGCGGTTGGTGATTTTATAGCTGGAGGTGGCACAGGAGGGGGTGGCAAGTCTACGAAGTTGAAAAAGAATAATAATTACAATGACATCATATACTAATGAAATTAAGAAATAATATTTAACTTCCACTGAAGAAACAGATGCCCTATTTACTTTCAGCCCTCCCTCTGCCCTTCTCTCTCCACCCCAAAAAGTGTTATGTTCATGTTAGAACTGCTGATGGGTTTTTTTCCAAAGCCTGAGCTTTAAAAATGCAAAGTAAAGACCTCTCACTGCCTTTTCAAATCACAATATTTTCTTAAAAAATCATTACAAAAAGCTGTAATAAAGTTTAGGCACTTGGATATTAATATACCAGTTATGGGTATCAACATAGAGTTAAAGATATTAACATATCTTTGCTGATATTTATCATTTTGCTCAGTCCATTCAACAACACAGCAGCTTGTGCTATAGTTACTGAAGTTCTTCAGTGTGCTGAGCATTAAAGTCGGCTGGGGTGTAAGAATGTATATCAGATGCACTGCTGATATATGTAAGAATAAACTATATTAATTATTGCATTCTTCTTTCAAAATAATAGGTCAATCTAAAATACATATCCCTAATGTCTGTGGGTATCTCTTGAGATATAAAAAAATCCACACTCAATCAACAAAGTAACAAGCTCTCAGGAAGAACAAAAAAAGAAAAAAAGACACACAAGACTTTGGAATTTGTCTCCTTACATTAGCACAGCTTAAGGGGTTCTAAGATTCTGTGTATTTTTAAATAGTATTTATAAGGCACACATATGTTTTACTTAGTTAAATTTTTCTATTCCTGCATTAAGACTTCAAACTAGAATGTGCAAACTGTTCATCAGGATACAATAGCGCTCTGTGGAATATAAAATGTGAAGGAAAAAAATGTAAAAGCCAAACAAGGAAACGACAACACAAAAGCGGTTCACAACGAAGCTGTAGGAACAAACCACATGCACGTAAGAGAACAACAGGTTAAAAAAAGTGAGTTGTGAAAGGTGTTTCCGAGGTTAATATTCTCGAGTGAGATTGCTAAAAAAAAAAATAACAGCACTATTAAAAAATGTAACTTCAGCATTTTATAATACTGTGCATTCATTCTTTCTACTTCCACAAAAAACTTGGAGCAGCTGTGTTTTTCAACCACCATCACTATATATGCAGCTAATTCACAGTCTATTCAAGAGAACATTTCAACTGAAAAATAACTAAATTGGGCCCAAGAATAAAGGTAGTACTCCTGAATAAGAAAAAAAAAAAAAGCCACATAACATATACATATAAATTCAGATATGGCAGATGCCAGATAATTTTGAGAGGTTTTCCAGTGACACAAAGCACAAATGACTTGATCTAGCCCTGTGGAAAGGTGTAGCAATGCAGAATTCAGTGCTCTATGCAGGCTTACTGGGCACCATCCTCCACGTTAAACTGGTGACATAACTTGGAATTGCCCTTGACCTGTTTTAAATAAGACTAGAAATTTAATCAGTTGTCTAGACTGGGATGATGAGGAAGAAAGATGTCATGCAGTTCATTTCCTAAGGTTGGACATACTTCAGGTAAATGAGATCTGTAACATCATTCTTGCTGCATTAACTCCACTGTCTTCGTAAAAAAAGACAAAGAAAAAAAAAACAGAAGAAACCAACCAAGCAAGCAAGAAAACTTCTCCTTCTTCTAATTTATGGCTTGAATAAGGGACCAAATGCATTTAATAAGAATCACAGGAACTTCTTTCCTTCTGTTCCTCTTAGCTAAGAACAAGTTGGACAACTGGCCTTATATTCCTTGCAAATCGTGTAGTTTTTTTTGTGTAGGGTTGTTTATTCTTCAAACTCTGGCAGTTTGGGGAACATCAGTTTCAGAGTAGCTAAAGGTAAACAATTGAATACTGACAATTTCAGCATCTACTTAACACCATTTGCAGATGTCTTTTACAAAAAAGTACTATCATTTCCAAAACTTGAGAAGGCATAATGTAAATTAGCTGGAAGCCTCGACATACTAAGTGGCTGAATCAAAACAATTTTATTTATGGAGTGGGATATTGGACTATAAAGTAAGAACAAAGACAGATCTGTGGGCAATTGGACTGGACTTGTTTAACTGAGAGAACTAAAACAGTAAAATGGAGAGGCACCTTCTGATTCAGTAAGATATGAAATACAACAGATTTTGTCAAGAAAGCACATAATCAGTTATGTTGCATTCCTTTGATCTCTATAATGCTTTAAACATGGTTTACAGTGGTAACCTCTGTCCAATATACACCCTTAACAGTGAAACTCTGTAATTCCACACATCAGAGAAGCATTCAGATTACCTCCTCTATGCAACTAAAAATACCCTGTGAGCTCTAGCCACCAAAGAGCAAACCAAGCCACTGTGCTGCCCAGTCCTGTAGATGCTTAAATTCAATATGTGCCTACAAGTGTGACGTTTGGATCACAGGGCTCCATAGGCACGTGAGCTTAAGTGTCAATACCTGCTCCAAAAAATCTTGGTCTGAAGAAGTATATAACCTCTTACAATTCAACTACTAGGTGAAAAATCATGTGAAGACCTCAGAGTAGCATGTGATATGTTTCCTGAAAGCCCAGTGCATCAGACGATGTCAGATCCAGCCCAAAGCTTATCAAGCACAATACCTGTTCTTCAAAAGCAATGCTGGAGATGGTGATGGTTCCCACCTTTTGCAGAATACTTTTAGTGATTATAGAACTTGGTCATTATTTAAAAAATAAGATAAACTCTTCATTAGCCTGAAGAGATTCAAAGAATATTTTCCTTTCTCTGGAAAACATTCTTCACACGTCTTCTCTCAGAAAAGGACACACCAACTCAGGGTGAAGATACTCAGACTCAGAAGTGTAGGCTTCTGGAACGACAGGTGTTCATGCAGTATCTTGTGTCTCATATGCCCTGCTCACTGTCTCTATTAAATTATCAGAGCACTGAATAGCCCTTCTGCTGAGCCTGTTGATGTAAAGGCAGTGTAGGCACTTAATACCAAGCCTTTTCAGTCACCCTTGGAGCCAGTCTCCAACAGCTGTGGCACAGCAATGCACTGGCTGAATACCAAAGGGAAGGAACAGCATCTTTCCTGTAGCCTATAAAATACAACTTGGAACAAACGACTTTATTCAAGAATCCTATCCAGCTACACAGGACAACGAACAGAGTGCTGTTAAGTCTTGACTATGGAAAGGTAAGATGCATTGATATAAAAAGTTTCATAAAATGGCAGTAGCTCTATGGTACAGTAATAACCAAAGAAAAGTGATATTCTCCTTCAAGAACATTTTTGCAACCTGCAGGGAAACTATAAGAATCTTCATTATAACACAGTACTCCTCATTGAGGAGAATCCTTTACAGAGGAAAAAAAACCAAAAACTTTTCAGAGGTCAACACTATTACACCCCTGTGGTATTTACTTTAACAGCTCAGATCACAGAGAAAATCCAGATTCAATCTGCCTCCTCAAGTACAAACTGGCACGCTTCTTATTAAAAGGAAAATGGAAGCTTCCATTGTAAGGAATAAAAAATAAATCACAAAGCAACATCAAACCAATATAAAGAACTCAGAAGTATTTGTTAAAGGTCAGCTGTGCTCACATGTTTCATTCATGTCTACGTATTACTGTTGTACTGCTTCCCATGTAACTAAAACAATTAATGGATGCCACTTCATAGCACGGCCTACAGGGGAAACCTTCCATATATGTCTTTTGAAAGGAGCGATGATAATTTTCTAAATGAGAACATGTACAGGAATCATGGGATAAGCAAAACACCAGTGGGGAAAAATAATCTGCTAAGTTAGTTTGGCACTAAAGTGGGGAAACCACAAATAAGCACAAAAAGATGAATTGTAAGTAGTGACAAATGAGGGAAGCAGCCCTTATTAGACAACTCTGTCTTTTAAGCTCTATCGGGCTGTAAATTTCTACAGTCATACCCTGAAGAGTCGTACCCAGCAGAGTTATAGATTTGATACAATATTGGAGAAGATACAGAGTGAATTTTTTTCTATTGCATATTTATGCAGGCATGCAAAACTCAAGATTGCTCCTGACTTAGTAAAGCTTTAAGATCATTTAAGATTCCTAGATACATAATAACCTCAGCTACTAGGTATTTTCATGCTTTATCTTTCAAGAAACATGGCTCAAACTGTACGTAATAACTGGATGAATAAATAGATACAGCAAAACACAATATGATGTATAAAAGCAGTGGATTGTTGGGTTGTAGGGGTTTTTTTGGCTGTGTGTACATTTACATAATGCTTTTATCAAAACCATTTTCACTCCACAAAAACTCCTTCAGTAACAAAATCAACATTTACGAAATATCTCACAATGGAATCAGAAGTAAGGACAGCAAAGAGAGCAGGTATCTGAAAATTATTGTCATTCAATAACAAGCTGGTTTTTAGCAGAGGTAAGAAATGCATTCCTACTTATTTTTTACCTTGCTGAAATTTGTGCAGAATAGATTTATTTGTACTGCACAGGCAGAGGGAGACAAAAGTACAAATGACACCGGCATGCAAAATGGCTTAACATTTCAAAGTGAAAATTCAAGGAAATATTTGGCAGATATTTAATTGCCTTTTGTGAAAAATTCAGCTGCCCTAACGTCATGTCATTGATAACACTGCTAAGTAACTCAGTTACAGTCTCAATCAGTTATTTGTGAAAATGTTAGTATTTTTTCCTTTGTCACTCAAGAGATTTAAAAAAGAATCAGGGTTTAAAACCTCGTGTGAACTGTCGATGGCGTAATTTCTATTGAAAGACCTACTGAATCGAAGCAATGACAAAGTACTTTATCCTTTTTTACCTAGATGCTTACAATTCCAAGGGCTTGTAACTACTAATAAATCAGTTCAAGACAGTTCTGAAGAGACTGTCATATATATAATTTTAGAAAAGACAAAAATACTCTTTTAAAATTTGGTTTCTTAAATTAAATATGTAAGTAGGTCATGCAAGGTTGAGAAGGAAGATACATGGTTTAGTTGGTTCTTGTAATGCACTCTTAGTAGTTAACTCTCTAAAAGGCTAGATGAAGAGCAATTAAAAATTCATACATTTTAATCCTTACCACCTACTGAGCAAAGATTTTTAGCAACAAATATGGAGAACATTTCACTGCCTGGATGACTGTCAAGGAGCAAAACAACTGAGCTGAAATCCCATTCCACATAAAGTAGAAACTGATTTGAACTAAGGCTAGCAGAAAATAAAAAATTGTTATACGATGCAGAGTAGATCAGAGAGCACTCTCCTTTATTTAAAAAAGGGTAGTAGTAGACCTTTAACTACTACATGAGTAACAAACACACTAAGAAATACCATTCTCTTTCACAAATCTTGCTGTATAAAGCAAAAAACAATACAGAATTTTTTAAGGCTTACATATATTGCTGCTGATAATACTCTTGGCATTTTCAACCATTCATGCAAAGACTTAATTTATTTATGTATCCTTTCTGTCAAACAATCATGTAAATTCTTCATGACATTGGTATTTCATGGAACTGCTAGCAAATACTAATTCAGCTAATTTGGAAACAGTAGAAAAGTCTTTATATGTGAAAAAAAATTCCATTTTAAAGGCTGAGAAAGTAATGAAGCAATTTCTCTTTTTAGTATTAATTCAATGCTTCTAGGCACCAACAAATGCTACTACAAACACACGTATGTTCACCCATTATGAGGAAAAAAAAAATCTTTGTATCAGGCACTCCTTTTTAAAAAAAGATAAGTAACAGTGTGACATCAAGCCAACAGAAAAACCTAAGTATATCTGGGAAAGGTCAATTGTGCTTAAATGTTTCATTCATGTCTCCATATCACTATTATCCACTGAAGGAAAACAAATAGTAGATATTATTTATAGATAATTCTAAAGAGACAATAAACTAGATGTGGCTAATAAACTGAATGGTTAGAATCTTCAGTAAGGTTCCAAATATGCTTATGTAAATGGATTGAGGAGAAAAAAATAGTAATAATAAAAAATCAAAACCAAAAAAGCCCTTCAACCTTTGAACTGGGTTTTATTAGTTCTGCAGAAATTAAAGCCATAATTTGCTGTTCTCTGAATGACCACACTGTATTGCACACTAAACAGGTTAGTGGAAATTCTTACCTAATTAGAAAATACGCTGAAGTAAGCAGGTGCTATATAACACAAAACAAATATCGATCATGACTGTCAAATCTATTGCAATATTTAACCACAATGCTCTATGATGTAACTTTGTATAATTACTTTCATAAAAACCTGTCATCAAATACCTCTTATTTACTCCTGTGTTAAAAGAAAATGGCCACATAAAACTCCTGTTCAGATTTTATTTCTGATGTCCTAGCTGTTGTGTTTGTATTGAGGTTTGACGCTCAGCCAATTATTCAGTTAAGAGCATTCTCTTCAAGAGAATAAAAGCCGATAAAATGTCCATAAAATCTTGCATAATGTCATTACAAGGGTCTCAGAAACGTAACATTTCTGGTACAGTTTTGGGATTTACACCTTGTGTTGTCCTTTCACAGAAGCAAACATGCACAAAACCACTGTAATAACCTCTTGAAATCAGATAATATTCCAACAGCTCAGTTTCACTGACAGAAGGGGCCTGGGCATAAGCCAAGAGGCCCAGGTGCACTGTGTCATGCCAGTATTTAATGCAGCCTAATATCAGATAGATGTTAGTGAGAGAAAATACTCAGAATAAAGTACAGATAATAGCACGGACAACCACTCATTGCTAAATTACTTCTGCTCATCGTGCTGTGAGCTTTGTATTAAATTTTTTCGTCAAGTGGCAGGAATCATAGGGAGAAGTGGCTCAAAACTCCCTTCTTGTAACCCTGGATAAGGATCTATAACATTAGGCTTTCATATGATAATGGAAAATGATGCCCCTCTTTGAAAAATTTCAGACTGGTAATGAAAGTCCTAATCAGATTGTTGTTGCAGAGAACCAGGAGGTGGGGAACGATGCCTTACTTTCCCCTCCCCCCCGTTAGCAAATTTAGCAAACTTGACAAGATGGGTTAAGTCTTGGAGAATTTATCTTACATGAATTTCCAACAAAGCCCGTGGGTTGTTTTATAAAACTGGAAGGTAGTGCTTTAATAAAAGCTGCACCACCTGAGGCATTTTCATTAAAGGCTCTCTCTAGACAACATCACAATGTTTGCATTATCCTCCTACACTCCCGAGAGAATACAAGCACTACCTTTTCAGCAAGAGTTGATATTGTGTGTGAAGGCATGAAAGACGACGATTAGATTTTCCTTTTACTCACAAAGTAACCGCTTGCAACAATGCTGTGCTCAGGATTAAAATCCATTGATTTGTGTTGCCCACCATTTGAATGGTAAATTGTTTTTTTCCGGAAAAGACACATTCTGAAGGTTTTAATAGTTAGTCATGTGAACAAAGGTTTTAATCCTAACCACACATTATTCTCAATGATTGTACTATTTATGCTATCTGGGATCTTAAATAATGACAGTAATTAGCCGATTAGGACACTACAGAAAACAGGTGCAAGGGTCTGGAGTGGAAGCATCAATGTGTAGTATTAAGGAACTCTGGCATTTAAAATGATTAATCTGTTCAGTGTGTTTAGCAACAGGAAACACAAATCACTGAATTCTGAAACATAACGTTATCTCTGTGGAAAAATTTCACACACACGCTCTGAACGCATATTTAGAAAGGTTCACTGACGTTTTCACCCATTTCAGTGGACTCACCATCTGTGTAGACTTCTCTGCGCAGATGTCCTGGCTGGTGTTTTTGCTTTTTGGCAGGTCGGACCTTCTGTATTACAACAGCACTCATGTTGCTGTCGGTAGACACTGGGCTGGTGGGTCTAGGACAGTGTGATGCATGAAAATGTCTACGGCCTGGAAATTGTTACAGAACAATAGCTATTATTTTCCTTATCTAAAATAAGATGTTCCATACTTTCTCTTTTTTTACATCAGAATGACCTAGCTATACAAAACCTGAAAATACACTGTTGGAACAATAATAAAATTCTCATCCTTCCTGTAATCAGTTTTAGAGTGAGCTGTAACTAAATTGAAGCATTTGGTATCCTATCAGTAGGCAGGTTGGCTTAGTTTCACAGAAATTATCCAACTGGTTGGAAGCTGAACACCATCGGCAGTCAAGCACAGGCAGGCTTTTTGCCTTCCAGAAACAACATAATATTTCAGTTTCAAAAGGGGTTTCACCTCCTCTAGCTCTGGCAGTGCGAGGTCACCGATGCCATAAGCAGAGCAAGTCACTAGGCAGGTCTCAGGTACAGATGCCCCCTCTGCCACTTTGAGTGAATTACCAGGAATGCATCAGGAATGTACGACTAGCATTTTTATCACAGCTTATTTGCAGATAAGAACTGACACACTGTTTTTAGGATGTGTAGTCAGGTACAGGCAATATAAATACATAAAAATCACTGGATAACATGAACTTAACTGTCGTAAAATTATTTACCTGTAACAGGAACGGGATGTAAAAAGACTTCTAAATATATAAATTTACACACACATAGGCATACATATTTATATGAAAGTATATGTATAAAATGGATAAAATCCTGGCTCCGTGGGTAGGAATGGGAGTTTTGCCACCTACTTCAATCGGCCAGGATTTCATCCAGAATTACTAAATTAGCTCCCCTCTCACTCTTCGTGATGAACAGCTGTGTTGAAATGAAACAAAGGACTGTTAACTGGGAGAGGATATCAGAAATGGGAGGATGGTTGCAAATCTGTGGAGTCAGGGTGGACACAGTTGTGACAGAGTACCTCTTCTCCAGGTTTAGCAGTTTGATTGGCAAAACATTCATGGATCTGCTTGAAACCCACATCCCACCCTGCGGTATTCTTATTTCTTAGCTGAGCTATAACGATATCACTGGGCCTAGTTACTGATCAGGTTACTGATTACCTGTATATACCCACTGTTACTAGTAACCAGTATGTTGTAAAACACTAAATATTTCAAATATCATATTTTATACGTTCAGTGGTGATTTAGGGGGAAAAAAAAGGAAGAAACATATGCATAAGGCCTTGCTGCATATTCATAATCTATAATCTAAACCGCAACTAGTAACAGCTGTCAAATTATGAAACCAACACAAACGCAGTTCATCTCGATAATACAGCAGTAAGAGCTTGAACAGCATTCTCCAAAAGATAACAAAATATAAAATGGAAAACAAATATATTACAAATTTTTTTCAAATCCAGGGGAAATACAACTCTAAAGGTTTACTGCTTATTTGGACATTTCAATACAGAGGGATTAAATCTCCCATGAAGAGTGACTGAAAATACTGGGAGCCTTATACTAGGAAAAGGATACAATTCTGTAATCCTTTTTTTTTTTTTCCTCATTCAGTTCTGGGTGGAAATCCACCAGCGGGGTTGAGGTTTGGCAGTAATCAAGAAGACCAAAAAATTAGGAACTACTTATGAGAAAACAATGTAGAGCAGCAATTTATTTGAACTGTTTCACCAAAACTCCTTTTCTGACTCTTCTGAATTTCTAAATGTCATAAGAACAAGAATAATCCGGGAAGCAGTTGTGGATAAATACATTTCACAATGGCCATTTTTTTTTCTTCTCCCATCAAATAGAGGACAAACTCACCTCCTGCTGCATCCTGCATTTGACGTCTGGCTACTTTCAGGCCAGCGTATTCCGCAGCTGCTGCCACAGCCTGTGCAAAATCTGCATCGGTAAAAAATGATCCATCTGAAGAGCTAACGCTAGACCGCCCGCTTGAGATGTTATCTTCTTCAGAGGCTGAACCCCAGCCATTGATCATGGACCCTGTTACAGAGCTCTCCAAATCCCCAACGCTGGAGGCAGGTGTCTGCTCAAGGCCACGCAAAAGGAGCCTTCTGTTCTGCATCTTGGCAACCTCTACATCTGCCTCATCCTCTTCCTCTTCTGGTGCGTCAGTATCCATGTCAGAGACCAAGGGCCCTGAGATATATCCATAGGTATGTGGTGGGGAGATAGGCCTTGGAGGGGGTGGAGGACTCACAGGCTGACGTCTGCATAAAAATACACGGGTAAGAAGAACTGAAGTCACGTAACATAGACAGAGGAAATAGCAGGTTGATGAAAATATTTATTTCCCAACAAGCTTGACTTGCCTTTTTAAATCAACAGAATTTATATCTGAAAGGTTCTCGGTTGGTTGGTTTTTTTAGTTTTTATTTTTGCTGCCAATCAGAACTGACTGACAGTTATGTAGTTTGAAATCTACCACAAAGAAATCTGATTTTTTAATATGGTTCCTTTATCACTGATTTCAATGAAAATTGGCTTATTTTGCATAAAGCTGTTCGTTTTTCCTAAAGCAGCACATGTACAGCTAGGCAAAGAGCTGGTTACAGTTCATGTGACTATTCGAAAAAATTATTTGTGCACCCTTGAGAGTATGAGCAAAAGAAGTGTCTGTATATTGCTCTAGAAGCTCTAAACTATCAATGTCAACAGATGCCTCTACCTGAACAGATTGCTCCATAAACATTATCTTCCCTCCACGCACCCCAATGATTCAGAAATATATGAAAAGAGATATTGTTATTTCATTATTTTTTAAATTGGGCTAGGTGATAATATAAAGAAAGAATAGTCTACCATAACGTTAGTTCTAGGTCTTAAGGATACCACAATGCATATAGATGTATGGGTTAATTTATTTTGAGCTTAAATCATCAGTAATGGTGTCTCCAGCTTAAAGAGGCAAAGTATTAGATAACATTAGATCAACGTTCAGTTTAGTTAACACTTCACTCAGAAGTCCCAGGCAGTAACATTGTCAACAGTTTTTCTTCACAGGGCCACAGCCATGCTCTTTAATTGCCATTTGTCTGATAGGAAGAAATACTTTCTGCAGGAATGGTTGTACTGTTGGCTTTGCTTACCACGAATTTCTACTGCAGTCTGCTTTGCAAAAATTTCCAAAATAATTTTCCTTTGTCAATTTTTCCTTCTTATTATCTCATTGACAAATGGTGACTCTCATAAATTAAATCTTTTCTTTTGGGGGGGATGCAATTTTTTTATTTTAATAAATGGGAATACTTACTGATTTTGAAAAGAAAATTTAGCAAGGAAAAACCTAATACTTTGTGGCAAGAGCAAGCTGGAACCTCCCTGGACTACATCATCTAGCTGCTATTTTCCACTTGCTGTAGTAAGTACTGAATGGAATGAAGAAAAGGTCAGTTAGGGATATATACCCAATAATCCTTTAATAAACCCCCTCTCCCCCAAATCCCAGAAGCCATTTCTGCATGGGAATTTCTACCTGCCTTTGACTAGAGACCTTGCCCAATAAAGTTTTACTGCCTTAATTTAAAGCTCTTGTGACAACTGTCCTTGTAATATATTTGCCAGTCTTCCTATCCTCTAGGTTTTGGTATTAGGAGACAGACAACTGGTTACAAAATATGTTAGGGTTCTTGAAAATATAGCTTGCCTGCCAACCTTTAAGGATAAGCTAATTGAGAGCAGCTGGTTCATGGGCATACAGAATTAACAATACTTCGTTCACTTTATCTGATGGAGTGGTTCTCGCTTTAACAGTGACATCGTTTCCTGTCTCAGCTCTCACTTTAACATTGACATCATCTGCTGTCTCACTAAATCTTTAGTTTTTTCTCTGCTTGTCCACTCTTCCCAGAGCACAGATTTCTAGTTCAGTTTACTATACTTGTAGCAAGCTGACCAGACAGAGAAATATTACAGTACACCATCACCACCAGAATCATATTCTAGATGTCTGGTTCTGATCAGAAATTGAGATAATATTCAGCAGAACTACAAGTAAAGCTAATAAAAAGTATGACAAACAGTATTTTAGACATCATTGTCACTATAAACCCACCATTTACAAAACCCCCGCCAACAATACAGAGAGGCAGCACTCAGAATGTATTCTTAATTGGAAAGTATTGTCACACCATGTTCAGAACAGAAACCTCCCTCCCAGAATGGGCTACAGCTGTTGTGCACAGTACATCCAGCTCCTAAACAGCACTGCCATGGGTCATATCAACGCCATTAGATGGAAAAGGTAGTCAGCTAAGCCTTACAAATCATAGGATTATGAGAATCTTTTTTAACTGACGAGATGGATGTAGCAAAAAGAAAAGAAACAATGTTTGAAAAAGATAAAAAAGACAAATTTAGTCACTAACAATTCTAAGACTTTCAGCAAAGCTAGACTTAACCATTGTAGGAAGAACAAAATAAATATACATTCTATTTTTTCAGTTCACTCAATGAGTAAGCTGTATGACCTAGGAGCTTAAATTGGAACACCCTTCCAGATACTTCTGCCACTTCTTTTGATGACATTCATGGTGACTAGCCATCAATCTGTGTTGAGCAAACCACCTACTTTCCAGGAGCTGCTGGCTGGTTATGCATGTTTGCATACATCTGCTCCAATGCCTACTCCATTCTGTATGTCAGCACACAATTCCCACTCTCCAGAACATGGTAGCTGAGGTTCTGGAATGTCACTCACAACACATTGCTCACTTAGCATTTCCCTTTTCTATTAGCGCCCAGCTAGTTTAACCTCTAAATAATCCAGAAAATTTAGGTGATTAAAATGAACACTTCTGTGCCCTGACACATCAGGGCCAATGGAAATTACAGGGAAATATTATTAGCCACCCACTAATAAAAAGAATGATTTTAAAGACTCAGGAAGACACAGGAAGAGAAGAAGATACACAGTACAAGAACTGTCACCATAAAGAATAAAGAAAACAAAACAAGGCAAACCAAGTAGAAGTAGGAAGCAAAAGTAAAAGCAGATATAGGCCCTTTAAAAAAAAGGATTAGTAACAACTGCTTACTTAAAAAAGGGAAACATAAAAATGAACTAACTTTTCAGAAAACATTCTGGAAAATACGTCCATAAATGTCCAGTAAGCTCTATTAATAAAATCAAAGTTCTACAGTCTACTCGGCAAGACCAAATTATCTTCATCATAATAGGCCTGCATGTCACTAAAAATAAAAAGTATGACTAGAATATTGCAGGTAAGTTTGTACATTTGTGGTAACAAACTATGTGCAAACCACTGGAGGAAAAAAATAATAAAAAACCATAATTTGGGATGGAAAAGCTGTGCCTTCTTAACAAAAAGCAAGACAAGTAAGCATCATACATAAAAAGCCTCATTCAGAATTCACTGTTTTACGGCAGAAAAGCTGTGAGAGTATATATGCAAAATAGTTTGTACTAAAAGCAACTCAGAGAAGAGGAAAAGAAAATTTCCCTGTAACAAATATCTGTCTTTATTAATGTTGGACAGTGATGGAAAAGCTGTGCCTTCTTAACAAAAAGCAAGACAAGTAAGCATCATACATAAAAAGCCTCATTCAGAATTCACTGTTTTACGGCAGAAAAGCTGTGAGAGTATATATGCAAAATAGTTTGTACTAAAAGCAACTCAGAGAAGAGGAAAAGAAAATTTCCCTGTAACAAATATCTGTCTTTATTAATGTTGGACAGTCCTTTAAATAAGGGAAGGTGGAAATTTTAAGAAAATTTTGCAAGCAATAATTTCCTATATTAGGATTTATGAGAGGAGGAAAATCTATAGGTTATATAAATTATATATTTATATATATTCATACATATTGGTGACAAGTTAATTGCACAGTTACTGTGAAATAATGCATGCTATTTTATGGTAATAATGCAGTAAATCTATTGGAAACAATGGAACTGTAATTATATGGTAAGCTGTGTTAACGATACCACTTTAATATCCTGATGACTGTGAATTTAACTTATGTCAGCATCGTACGTAGCGTAAAGTGATATACTGCATTTCTTTCCATGTATAATAATGAAGCAACATAATTACATATTTCTTAGGTTACAAATAGTTCTACGTCCTGGAGCAGAAGTTAAATATTAACAGAATAAATATCATGGGGAAAAGCTTGGCCTCACTGAATTCAACAGGAATTTTCAGTGGGGCCAGGATGACTTTTGTCACATCTCTCTTGCTACATTTGCATTGACACACCTTCGGTCAGGTTGGTGTTGTATGTGTCCCAGATCCTCCTGACAGTCCTGTAACATGGGCTGGAGTTCTTCCTGGGGAGAGGGGGTGAGAGTGGCAGTTGACTGATGGCTATAGGAGACAGCGGCCGGAGAGGAAGCTGCCCCTCGGACAGGTGGAGTAGGACCTCGCTCATCTTCTTCCTCTTCCTCTAGCTCATCCTGCTGCAGATACATCCTTGCAGGTGGGACAGGACAAGGAATTTCTTGGTCATAGCTAAAATTAATATTTTAAGAAAATAAGGACTTACATTTTTACTGTGTAATTAGCATATCTGATACACGTACAAATAGCCCAGAAAAAAATCATTGTTATATGTGTTCCTGAAAACAGCTTAGTAAGGATGTACTGAGTGGATGTACACCGCTGTCAGTATGTGATCTCTAAATAGCCACACTACAGCTACATGAGGAGCACCAGAACAGTACTGAAGGAAGGTATCACTGCCAGCTTGTAGGTCAAATTACAGTTCAGTTAACTAGTGGTTAAAGTGAGAAATGGATGAGGTATTCATTTTTCTCTTACCTTTCATCCACCGAAAGACTGTAATCTTCACTATTGCTATGAGGAGGCGGATGTGCTGGAGGGGGGGGAAGAAGATCTGCCCAGTTCATGCCAGCTTGCTTGGGAGCCTTTGGGGTCCGAGCACCCTTCTTGTGCCCTTGACTCCCTGTGAATAAAAAGCAGTACATATTTGTAATGCTTTTAAGTATCTCCTCACCACTAGCTTTGACAAACAAAATAACCGTAGTCCCTCCCAGATCCTCCTGAATTCTCCAGGCATTTCCTGTTGTGCTGGAATAAACTGGCATTCCTCTTTGTTACACCAATTTGTAATTGCATTTTCTTTGTAGAGTTACTCTACATTTTAAGCAGTTGAATTTAACCAGAAACTTTACATAGCATGGAAAAAAGCACATGGGATACAAAACTTGAATTGTTAATAAATAGTCAAAATGCGATAAAACCATAAATGAATTTTACAAGCAATGTAATTAAAAGTGAGCTTCCTACTTCTATTAATTACATTACAGATTATCATCTAAAACAAATGAGCTGTAGACATATTTTCTAAAGTGCCTTTATACTATTTAATTGCTGGAACCTAAAATACAATATGATACAGATATGATCTATTAAAGTTCCACTGTCGCATTAAGTCACTGAATATATGTAATTTGTACTTGTCCACTGAAACGTTTTAGGCACAATGAAATTACTAGTTTCAGTTTAAATGGCAGGTGCAGTTGAAAATAATTGCTGGAAGAAATAAAATAACAGAAAAAAGAAGAAAGAAGATCGATGAAGTACGGCACAAATGTTTTCAACAACTATTACTGGGAAATTATAGTTCATAATAGAACAATGCACCTTTAACAGTTCCATTAACTTTGAATAAGACCAATTATTCAGGTGGTCTTGAATTTTACCTTTGCACATGGCTATGATCAGAACTGATTCTACCATTGTTCCTTGGTATTATGCTGGTTTTGGCTGGGATACAGTTAATTTTCTTCATAGTAGCTTCTATGGGGCGATGTTTTGCATTTGTGCTGAAAACAGTGTTGATAACACAGGGATGTTTTAGCTATTGCTGAGCAGTGCTTACACAGAGTCAAGGCCTTTTGTGCTCCTCACACCACCCCACCAGCGAGTGGGCTGAGGGTGCACAAGATGTTGGGAGAGGACACAGCCAGGACAGCTGACCCCAACTGACCAAAGGGCTATTCCATACCATATGACATCATGCTCAGCATAAAAAGCTGGGGGGAAAAAGAAGGAAGGGGGGGACATCTGGAGTGATGGCGTTTGTCTTCCCAAGTAACCGTTACGCGTGATGGAGCCCTGCCTTCCTGGAGATGGCTGAACACCTGCCTGCCGATGGGAAGCAGCGAATGAATTCCTTGTTTTGCTTGGCTTATGCACAGGGTTTGCTTTACCTGTTACACTGTCTTTATCTCACTCAACCCAGGAGTTTTCTCACTTTTACTCTTCAGATTCTCTCACCTGTCCCACCAGGGGGGGAGTGAGTGAGTGGCTGGGTGGTGCTTAGTTGCCAGCTGGGGTTAAACCATGACAGGTATACATTTTTATCCTTCTTTGTTATTGTTACTTTGTTAATTGTAAAGTCACTGCATTTTTGAGTATGTTTTAGAATCCTTCACATTTCTCTCTTCAACTGAGGCATGGTTTCATATTATCGTAGTTAAGCCACATACACATGATTTAATATGTTGCAATGAGATTTAGGAAGCATGTTTTTCTCACTTCTGCTGTCTCAGATTTTCCATTCTTATGGACAGTAATTCTGTTTATTATTGCCCCACATTAGCTGCCAGATACAAATATGTTTTAGCTATGTACAATTATTTTTCTGGTATCTCAGTATGTCAAGCAAGACCCTAACTATCCCAAGGCGACCATCATCCTCATTCTCTACCCTAAGCACCATGATATATACTAGGTTCAGCACAATTAATTTATTACTCTGGTCACCTTGCTTCCTTCCTGCTGGAGTCCTTGGTATAGGACTATAAATTGTTAGCATTATGAGTAACTATAATAGGTGTCAGCATGGAGAATATCACCTTCTCATTTTTAATTTGCATGGGTTCATACCCCTTCACACTGAATTTCAGGTCTTAACATCATTGAGCACAGGCTAAGCACCACATCCTGATGTTGTAGACCTGGGAACGGGCAAAAGGCTGGCTCCCAGAAGAACACCCCTGAGCAGCTGGGAGAATCGGAAGCCGTGCTTATCTCACCCCAGCCACTGAGAATTCAGGTCACCCAAAGGCACAGCAGGCTCATCTACATGTTTATGCCTCTGCTATGCCTCAGTCACAATCGCTCAAGGCAGAGCGCAGGTTAGGATTAAGGCAACTGGACTATCAAAGGCAACAGCAGAACAAAAGGTGAAAAGTTCTTGTCTTGATTAGTAGATGTAAAGTCCAGGGCACTGGTGATTGTGACCATAACTCACCCTATAATTAGCTTGATGTAAATAAACATTGGCTAAGTATCAGACTTACAGTAAAGCCCCAAACCAAGCCTATGCATAGTTTCTGCTTTAGCTCTGAACATTTCACACACCTCTACCAGAATCAAAGCTGAGAGTGAACAGGTTATACCATGATGAGAAGCAATAACTTTTGAATTAAATCGTATTCTGTGGTGCCAAAGCACTGAGTGCATTTTCAGTAACCTGTTCAGCATTCTCCAGCACAAAAAGCTGTCTTGTTTCAAGATTTTTACAAAGGACTTTTAGATATTTTGCATAGGAGATGCCAATGAGAAACAAAATTTAACTTTAATTATCTACTGTCTACATTTGAATGATGTACAAGAATAGTTTTGACATATAGCTACTGAAATCTATAAAAATTTTATGTACGCATGTATGCTTTTTTACTCAATAACATGCATGGGTTTAATTTAAAAAATAGAAAATTTCTTAAAGCAGTTGTTAGGTACCATAGACTCATAGAATGGTTTGGGTTGGAAGGGACCTTCAAGATCATCTCGTTCCAAACCCCTGCCGTGGGCAGGGACCTTCCACTAGACCAGGTTGCTCAAAGCCCCATCCAGCCTCGCCCTGAACACTTCCAGGGATGGGGCATCCACAGCTTCTCTGGGTATCACTCAAATATTCTGGTATCTTGAGCCTGTTCATGAATAAGGTTGTCTTGGGTGAGCAGACCCAAGAAATTGAGAAGAAATCCGTGAAGTACCAGGAAGGTAATACATAATTTAAAATCCTCTTTTTCGTGACAGCTGAAAAGGAATTTCTATGACTTGCCCATCTGGAGGCCGTAAGATTAACCAGTAGGGCATTAACATTAGGAAATTCAACTTCTATTTGATTTCATAACTTTCACAATTTTGGACAATCAATTACTTAATTGACATTTAGATGGCACTAAGCAATTATGAAGATGCAACAGAAATATAGGCACCTATTGGGCCAGTTTTTATGCTGTTTAACATCCCTGTGCTGTATTACTGTCAGTGGGTCCCTCCCCATCATCCCTTCTGTAAGTATGGTAACTACTGCTAACTATAGCTAGAGCATCCAAATACCAAAAACCCTAAAATTTGGAAAACACTGTAGATACTTACCAGATGTACTACTGCCTCTGTCCGAGCTGTTGTAGGATCCACCTGTATTCTGGTCGTATGACTGGTTGTACGGAATAGTTGGAGCAATGTTGTCATTTACCCGGTAATCTGCAAGTTTAATAGTACAGTTAATGCCACCCTTCAGAAACACATCTACTTTTATGTACCTGCTTTATAACACAAATTAAGATCTCCTGAAAATAGTGAGGAAGAAATAAATTCATTTTTGGAAAGGAAAATCATCCTATAATCATGTTTTATTTTTATCTTGTCTCTAATTGTAAGTTTAAGGAAAATCATGGGAACTTAGTAGCTCCACAGAAAAAATGAAGTACAATGAAATCCTATGCACAGGGTTGTCCCAATGCCTCTGCAGGGATTAAGTCTCAAAGTACATATATATGACCTGTATGAGCATTTTGCATATGAACAGACCATCACCTTGATTGCTTTTCCATGGTCTCTGCTTAATTTATGCATGCAGGGCAGCCAACGGACTGTGGTAGCTGCTTTTTGTATTTCAAAGGTGGCAAAGCCAGGCAGGAGTCAGCTCCGCATTACAAGAGCTGAAGGATCCACTGGAGCAACAATGCAGCTCCACCCAATTTGGTTTACAACAGAAGAGGTCTTTGTTTAACGCCTGCCGGCTCCAAGAAGATTTTTATTTACACTGGGTCATGCAGGTTCTAGCTACAGGCAGGGTTTTTTTTTTGCTAATGGCTATTACTGTAACTTCCTTCTGTAGTTCCAAAGCCCTTGATATTCATATGTTACTTTTAAATCTAGATTTGGCAACCAGATCTGTAAAACTTTATCAGAAGTAAAATACTCATCTGACAAAACAGTACTCTCATGCCAAAAAGGAATTATAATTTACAGAGAACAGAAAGGAGCCGAGTTACTCTTCGTACAGCAAATAAAACTGCGTCATAAACAGAACCACTGGACATAAAGTAGTGACAATGAAGCACAGCATGTAACTCATCAAAATGGTTATTTCCCACCACAAAAGCTATAGGTACAATTGTCAGCAAGATGGTTTTGACTTAGGAAATGAGAAAACCAAGATCAGAATATTGAGTCATAAAACAGAAAATCAAAACAAAAATAAACAAAACTAAGAATCCAGTCCCCATCTGCTGCAGAAATGTTTGTGATAATGTAAGCACGGGAAAAAGAGCAAAATGATAAATTCCACACCAGAGTGTATTCTGTAATAGTTTCTCAGCCTAGTTGCATTCCAGAGACCACGCTGAAGCCCTACATACCGCATATGTTTACACAGAGGATAAACAGTAAATCAGCACTCTGAAATATGTATATATGACTGTCAGCAGACAATGCTTTAAGGGGGCCTTTCCACGCTACAATATGCTAGCGAATATGCAGTGTAATATACACAGTTTGAAAGATGCAGTATCTTCCAGAGCATAAAAACCAAACATGTTTTAATTCCAAAACAGATATGTAATACACAGTTCATGAAAGAAAACATAATTACAAAAAAATACAGCTTTCACCCTCTAGTAAGGAGCCACAAAAACTGAATTTTCTTTTGACATGTTTATGTCAAGGGAAGGTGTCACATTTTATATTGCCCTTTGAACTCCTCTGTGAGCAGATGGGTCCAGTAGAGAAATCAACATTCCTGTAATGAAACATATTTACTGGATAACTTATCACTATGTGATCACTTGAGTTACAACAATCCATGCAAAAAGTTCCAAGTTAGAATAGGTCCAGTTCCTAGGGATACTGTTTTGCAAATCAGGTTATTAAAAGAGGTTGCATGGTAGCCTGGAGGACTAGCAAGAAATCACATACCTATTTCTTCCAACTCCCACACATTATATTAAAGAAACATGCCCTCAAGGCCACAGAAGTACATTCTGATGTTTCCCGTTAACACTGAAATCAATTTATTTTTAGCTTCTGGATCCACAGACTTCAGTCAGTGTAACAAAGGAATTTAGTTTCCAAAACTGTGTGCAGTAGCATTGCCTCTCAAGATGTGAATCGAAGGCTTGCTAGGAACAAGTCTAAAATGAATTGGATCACTCCATTTGTGTCCCCAGTGTACAACACAATACAATTTTAGAGAGTTTTGATATGCAAAATTTCATTCGTTTACATGAACATGTAGATTTAATTAGTCTCCATCCACGACTGGGAAGAGTGGGTTGACCTATTTAAAATTTAAGGTAGAGTATAATGCGACTACCATGCATCTGGCTTATGAATAAAATATCTGGCCTCTGTCCTAACCAATCCCTTAACTACTATTAAATTTAAATTAATCTCAAATCCATACGAAATGTATTTAACTCTTTTCTAAAGATAGAGCTTGTTATTTGTTATAATAAATTCAATATCTGAAGGTTATTGTGGTGCTAATTAACTTTCTGACACTGCTAACTGTGGATTTCTAAATCTAAAGAGGGAGAAGTCTAAAAGCACCACAGAAGTCTGTAATTGCTGAACCTGAAAGCTTTAGACTCCCAGCACCAGAAGGTCAAAACTCCTCTGATGCCTAAAGAGGAGAAACAAGCTAAAAGCTCTTCACCTTTGTTTAATTTGTTTTGCTCCATAATGTTGTACTGTATGGGTGCAACCTCTTGCTTTTGCTGAACAGAGGGTTTCCAGTGTTTCTCATTCGTATCCCCGCTGCCATTGTTAACATTATTGCTGATATTTGACTGGATGAGTTGAGTGGTGGCATAAGGAGTGGGCTGCCCAGGCTGGCTGACAAATCTTCCGTCCTTTAGATTTGGACTATTGAAGGTTTTCATCTCATTGATTTTGTTGCTGAGGTCCACGTCACCATATACAGTTGACTCAGGCAACATCAGGTTTGTTTGCTTGTTGTCCAGCTGATTGTTGTAATTTGCTATACAATCGGCTAACCACAGAGGAAAGAAAAAAGAAAAGGTCATTCTGTTCGCTTACAATATACTTTCAATGAAATTCCCTTTAAAAAATTTTTAGTGCATTACTATATGGCTTGCATCCATGAAGCAGAGATACTGTAATTAACTAAATAATTTACAGAATATTATTTATCTTATAAGCTACTGCTTCAAAAGTAGCGTTCACTGTTTTGATTCACTGTAAATTCCGACCTTCTGAATTTTATCTACAATGACTTACCTTGCTGGGCTTTTTCTACAGTGGCCATATAAACATTCACGTTTTTAGACATTGTTCTCAAAGCAGTATAGATATCTAATCAATAACTGTGATTAAAATAACTTGCATTGAAAGGAAGAATCAACCAAAATGTAATAGTGGGAATAACTAAACATGACAGTCATCTCATGGCATCTCAACAGCATTTAGACTTTCTTGTACTTGTGATAAGAAACAGAGATACAACAGATTTTTATAAAACAGAATGAAAAATGCTTACACATAGCAGAATTAAAGAGAAAAGTACAATGTGAAAGGTACTTCAGTACCCAGTAGCAAGTCTTTATTTGATCATTGTTTCCTTGTACAATCTTATATTCTGGTTTGAAACAAAAAGACAGGAAAGCAATCTGGAATTTTTGTTAATTTTTAGGTGCTTTGGATATTGCAAAATAAGTAATACCATAGTAATACCATTGTCAGGTATGCTAAATATGTATCATATAGACAGCATTAATTCATCCTTCTAATAGTTATTGCATCATGAGATCACCACTTATTGCATAGAGTAAATCAGACATGTACTGATGCTCTGGCCACTACTGCATGAACCAGTGTGCCTGCCTTTCTGCATTCCCTTGCCTCCACGTGACAGCAGCTCCACACACTTTTTTTCTTCTCCATATCCAGTCCACTGTAAGAATACTGAATGGAGTAATGCAGTCTGTGGGTCAGCAGTTAGGAGGCTTAGTGAAACCAGCATTCAATGATCATTAAGCAAAAATTCTCATTTGCCAGCTGATTAATGCATCAATAATTACATAACAATCACCAGGAATATAGTTTTCCTCTTTTAAAAGATGTGGTATTTATGCTAATGAGTTTGATTCAAAACCTGAAGTCCATTACCTGTGGCCACAATTAAATTACTGGAGAGGGTGCCAAGTAAAACTAAGTACAGAATTCAGGATTTGACCACTATACTAAATGAAGTAACTACTAAATATAGAGGATGTTCAATTTCAAAAATATTCCCTAATACATACATCTTTTTTGAGAAATATTTCCTGAAAAAGAGAAATAAAATACTACTTGAGGAAGAAAACCACCGATCCACATTTTCAGTGATTAAGGAACAGTATCAGAACATGCCACATACAACTTATCATGGTACATTTTATGCCCTCCAGCTTGTGTTTTTGAAGGTTTTACTGTTTGGTATGTTTTTCTTTCTTACACGAGCTGTTATTTATTGCTTCACAGTCTTCAACTTCTTGCTTTCTACTTTTTAAATGTTTTCATTTCTGCTTTTTCTCTCACCTACTGAAACCATTCTAGACTTTCCTCCTTTCCAAGTCTATTGTATTCTACTGGGCAATTATATATCCAGCATATTCTTCATTCCTAATACCTCATGCTTTGCTGTAATATCCTTGTAGAGTCACTTACAACATATATTTTTACCTCCTTCCATTTTCAGCTACATCCGATTTGTGTGTAGGGCAATATAATCGATACAGTATATGCAGTAGGTACATTTTTTTACACAGATGGATTAGAATTCCTCATACAAAGTACTTAAACAAAACTGGTTTATCTATGTAACAGAAGATTTATTCTGTTAGGTTTTTTTTTATGGCATCTACTTTTAGAACAACCCATTCCCATTCTGTAGACTTGGAAGACAGTACTATACTTAAATTAAAAATGCAGAGTTACTTAGCATACTCACAGCTATAGAGGGGATATCCAACTCTGCTGCTTCAGACATAAGCCAAGCCCAAGCTGACATAATTAAGAATATCTGCCAGATTTTCCAGGACAGAAGAGACCACTATGAGCATCTTGTCTGACCCTCAAGCTCATAAGCTCTATTGGAAGGAAGGAATCGCTTTGCAACACAACCAAGCTTAATATAAAAGCTAAATTGAGAAAGAATCCACTGCACCTCATGACAAGATGTTATAATGGTTTACAACACTCAAAAATGTGCATATTCTTCCTTTTCTGAATTTGTTAAGTTTCAGTTACTAGAACTTGGTATGTCTGTACTTGCCACAATAAAGTATCTCTGTATCAGAAATCTTTTTACATAGGTATTTGTGGACGTGATATCCTCAGGCAGGGTAAGATACAAGTCTCTAATGTTAAAAACTCTCACCTTCCTCTGAAGCACCTGGCACTGATCACTGTCAGACAGCACACTGCAGCAGATGAATTACCACCATCACATTATGACTGGTTTCACATTAATTACAGGAGGTAGTGCTGTTTTGCACTTATGCAACCTCACTATAGGTAATCATACTCCCTCTCTGAAATGCTGGGAAATGCTACTAGCAAAAATCAGCTGGAGATGTTGGTAGTGGAAAAGACTCATTTTCATTCCTCACCAGTAACACAAACCGGGTTAAAACAAAAGGAACCTAAGGTCCGTTTAAAACAAAATGTTCAACAATTAGCACTTTAAGAAATATTTCCCCAACTGTGTTCCCATGGAACTCACAAGGTTTCCTTCAAAAGCACTCTAAGTCCTGCCCAAGCTCCCGGGAACTACCACAACCTAACATTTCATAATTGCTTTTAGAGTGTGAAGTTAACTTTTTCATCCATACACCCTAAACAGAAAACCAGCTATCCAATTTTGTACAGAATGGCACCCCAAGAGAGGTTTTGAATGTGCCAAAGTAGATTGACTGTTTTGCAAGTACTGTAGCAATGTTTTATTTCTTGCTTCCCATCACACCCAAACCAGAAGGAAAATCTCACTGGTGTCATTTTGGTACTTCTCCTTCTCCATTCAAGCAACACGGATGTACAGAACAACCTAAAAATGACCTTATCTGCTTTTTCAGATGCTGAAACATATCAGTTCAGTGTGACTTTTGGTAACACTGAACTTTGCAGGGGCTCCTTCAGCCTACAGCTTGCTACAACTATCCAAAGGGAACTGAAAAAAGGGATCCAAAAAGGGAAAAGGGACCAAAAGTATAATCATGACATAGAGGAGAAACTATATTAAGTCTAAACGCATTGGAAATAAAAAACCAAACAAACCTGTACACACTCTCAGGTATTAGAAGTATATACTCTGTAAAGAAGATTCACTAGCAAGGTAGAAACATATCTAACCTGGTCGACTGTACGTTGTAAGGTTGCTATCGCTGTTTCCGTTTCCAGAGGTGCAGCAGTTGATGGAGCAGTCATTGTGATTGTTCCCTGTGTTAGGCCAAGTATCTGCTAGCCATGGCTGAGTGGCTGGTTCACTGATGTTTAGGAGTCCTGGCCTTTAAAAACAAAGCTTGGTCATTTCAAAAATTAAACAAAAGCATTTTTACATTGCAATTATATTCTTCTCAAAAGGTTAGATATTACAAAATAATATCACGCATTGGAAGGCTTGAGCATTGGAAAATACAGCTTGATTCAATTATTTAATGGTTTCTAGTCTCCTACATAACCTATTCCTTGCTAAGACACTCTGAAGTGAACAGCCAAGCACAGTATCCATTCAGTTTGATAAACTACACATATACATTTGTCTGCAACCTTTAACTGTCACTTTTGTTTTGTTTTGTTTTTCTGGAAAGGTTGTATTTTTATTTTTCTGCCCTTTCTCCCTTTCTTAAAGAAAGCAAGCTAAAAAAGGAGAAATTGACGAGTCAAACAAACAAAAAATTCACACATGGAAGTGAGATGGATATGTGGAAATAAGAGCTGAGACTGGATGTGAATACTCCCGAATTCTTGGTGATTTATGAAGCCAAGTTCTCCTCACCATCAGATAGTACTATTGGAGTGGATTAAAGGGAAAAGCAGATTACAGAAACTTCTGTCACTTGGGAGTATTTGGATCTCACTAAGCATACTGTGTGTGATACATCTTTGTTAATGAGTAAGCCACTCGCTTAATCTTTATGTGGGTGGAACAGCAGCAGCTCCTAAGCAAGTTTAAAGTAACGGGGAATACTCAACACCTTCAAAAATATCCAGATATCGATGTTGCATATTGGCTGGCTTTGGAATTAAGTGTATTCCTGCCATCAGCAGAAGGAAATAGCATTCCTTGGCTTCCAAGTTGCTGAATTTTTCTAGTAAGTGTGAAAGACGCTCTGATGACGTTTTGTAGAATCTTTGGTGCCTCCTCAGTTTTCACACTAACAATGCAATGGTATGTTATAAAGTCCCACATAAGTAGCATCCCCTAACAACTTAAAATTGCTTTTGATAACTACGGTGCTTTTAAAAATACACAATTTTAGCCACTGTCATATTAAAAAAAAAAGGAACATGGTCTCTTTCACCACAGGATTTAACAGGCAACTTTCCATTTGAAATAGTGCAGAAACCAGTCTCCATAATATTAGATGTGATGCTCTTCAAAAATAAAATATGCTAATCTTCTTAAACTGCAAGTTGAGAATACAAACTGCATGCAGTTAGCTGTGGGGGATATAGTCTGTCAGTGCTGCAGGCTTAAGTCATAGTTTTAGAATGACATTTAAAAGATCTATACATATATGTGTATATATATATTTCTGTACTGCATATGTCACCTGACAATTTAACATAGGAGGCGATGAAGCTTGACTTACTGTCAGGCTAAGAAACTAGCCAATACACATGCACTAAACAAGTATTTTTTGTAAATCTGAAATAAATGTACAGCTACATAGTCCTGTGAGCAGGCCAGGATTTGAAATACGCTACTTTTTTCCCTACCACTCTGCTCTTACAGTGAAACTATACTTCAAGGCATTTGGAGGAGACAAAGCCTTCCAGAATGTTTCAGCACTTTCAAGGCCTCTGTACTGGATTTTTGGATAGAGAGTTAAAGGTCCTTTGCTTCTAAAATTTACTTTGCATTCACACCTGCTGTCACATAAGAAATGTGGTGCGAGGTATATAAGTAGATGAAAACTCTACTAATTGGAGCCATTAAGTTGGAACTGTAAGCGAGAAATGTCTGCATGACAGCTCCATAGCCTGGTGATGATTGGAGATCATAATTTCCAAAGATCTTTAACCTCTGCAGCAAATTCCTTGAGTCCTTGAAATTACTGTACCGGGTCTGGGCTGTGGGGTGGACTGAGCAAGTGGCTGTGTGGGTGCCTGGCTGCTGGCTGGAGTCAATCCACCACAACTACCATTACTTGAATCCTGTCTAGAAAAGGGATTGCCACAGAAATGGGTATTTTTTCAGCATCGCAGAAGTGGGGATATGTTGCAACATATCACTGTAACATACTGAATTCTGAATAATACTTTAATATGCTCACATAACTGCACTTGGCAAATACGCTAAACCTCTCCAAAACATTGCAGATATAATTTAAGGAAGTGAAAACCTTAAGTTTGGAAATCAGAGTAAAGGTTTCATACGTATAATTAACTTTTTTTTTTTTAATCTTGCAGAAGGATGTTTCATATTCTACAAAATATGGTACAACATCATACATTCTGCAACTGCTGTATATGCAAATGAAAAAAAGAAGCACAGATGTTAGCACCTTGAATCAATTACACTGCTCGACTGTGGCACTGATCCTTAAAACTAGGACAGTAAAAAATGATGCTGCTTCTCTAGCAATACCAAAATGACTGTATACGATGTAGACACTTCTGGTTCACTTCTGTCCTCTGAGTCTATGCGAGTGTGCTTTGTTTAGCTTGTGCTATGGGAAGAGCAAGAAAGCACAGTGGCACAAAGAACACAAAGGATGTTAACTGCGTATCTTTTTGAACAACCTTGTCAGGGAGAAAGAGGGTTCATCTCTATTCTCTCTTATTTTCTCACTGTCCTGGGGTGAAGGCAGCAACCCAGTGATTTACAGATTTGTCCATTCAAAAATCACATGGTAACTGTTCTAGAGGTTTTCCTCCATGGTTTTATGGCTACGACAACACAGCAGCACACAGTGCTGGACAGAGAGATCTGCAATTGCTCTTAAGGTGCCAGGTTCAGCAACAGCAGCAACATTCAAGTAGATTGGGAATGCTTAATTTTATGCCTAACGTTTACCATTACCAAATTTTTGTATGGTCTTGCAAATTAGAAATCACAAGATGCCACTTGTGAAACAGGAATTAATATATGAGTTTATCACCCAGCTGCTCTCTGAGATTTTAGAGTTTATTTCAGAATCATGCCAAATCTTTAACTGAGATGCTTTTAAAAAGGCATATTTGAATGTGACCTAGGAAAAAAAAAAGGTGTGCTACTGAAGTGACACTGCTCTGACCTGCCTTTTTGCTAAAACTGTTATTTTGCCTCCTGAAAAAAACTCCACCTCTACAGAGGAAATGTAAATTACTGTTTTGGCCACTGCCGTTCATTAAGCGTAAACCCAGTAAACATGTTTTAGTTAAATCCTCAGTCTGGAATGGGCTAGGTTCTCAAAGCTGGGGGCTTTAAATTTAAAACCTACCTGTTTCCCTCTCCTTCAGAGCTCCGTGTCTTGCAAGTGATTCTTTAACTGTTGTGCATACGTAGCAAGATTTTTTTCTTAAAAAGTCACCTCATAAGCTGTTTATGTCTTCAGCAATTTTTTCCAATAAACGTTTTCTTTCTTTGTAGTATTTGTGAACCAGCTATATTTCTTAATCTTCATAAATGCCACGACTTAATTACTTTTACTCCCTTAATCAGCTGGTAAGCCAGGTCTTTATTTTGAAGTTAAAGTGCTCCCTCTGCTGCTCATTTTTTGAGATACCGTTTTTACAGGTTAACAAAGCTGAAGATACAATGACTCATTCTTTGGAAAGCAACCGAAAAATTCAAACCATATATCTTCCTTCTAAACAGGATATGTCCAAGATGTATAAATTAATATAATAAATTAAGACATATCGTTGCAAGTGATTATTCTGCTATCACTCACAAGGACAACTGTACTCCTACCCTCCTTAAATTTAGTTGCACATGATTTATAGCTTTAAAAATCAAGCACATAATTACCTGCCTCCACTGCTTACGGCCTCTCCTCCTCTCTGATACGTTACTGAAATAGTTAAAGATAAAAAAAATGAAATAATTTAAAAATCATAAAAGACTCCTTAATAGCAGTATTAAATTTGCCTTTGTTTCATTTTAGCCAAGACAATAAACGTGCATTGTTTATACATTAATTCTGAGTCTCATTCTGCAAGCTATTCCTTCAAATGCAAGTTTATACATCATATTTGTGTTGCTTGATAACTGCCAGTCTTCGCTCCAACAAAGTTTTGTATTTCAGTTCTGTTCTGAAGAACACAAACACACACATGTATCGCTTAAGAAAGCAGGAAGCCATATATCAGGTTGAACTTATCCTTAACATAACTCTGCTGACTTCAGTGGAGTTACTCTGTGGAAGAATTTAGGTCATATATTTATTTCATGAATGGTTAGATGTTAAAGCTTTGCTCTACGTTATTATTTTGGTAAGATTAAAGAGGTATCATGATCCTATAACAGACCTTACTTGCAATGTAAACAATGCCTCATTACAGCTGACCCTGCTGCAAAAACACATGCTCTTTCTGAATGTTACTGCGCTATACTCATGGAACAGGCACACTCTACAAGTCCACAGAGGCTTCACATTTTTTAACACTTTACAATTGGATTTATTAATGGTACTTTTTTATCTAAAAATTTAAATGTATAAATCTTTGTAAAAGATGTCTGGCATAAAGAACACTTCCTAAATTAGAAGGAACAGTTTTGCTAGCATTTCAGAAGCATTACACATTAACAAAGTGGATGTCCACATGCATTTATTTGTTGGCATGGAGTGCATATCCCTCATAGGAAGCATCATGGTTGAAAAGTTAGTTTTTAGGATGCAAACATCCATGAAGAAACAGTGCTATAAATTCTGCAGGTTTGCATTGGGTTTGGCAAAGGGTTAAGGAGGTTGCCTCCCTGCAAATGCTGATGGATTCTACATTTTCCAACTAGGAATGTGTCGAAAAAAACCAGCCAAATTCTGCTCTTTAGAAGAACTCCAAATTGGGAGTCTGCAAGAGAGAGATAAATGCTGGCAGTGATTACAGTAACAGGATTAAAATGTAGGGTGCTTTGCTACAGGTAAGTCTTTCACTATAGATAATGCTAAAGAAGAGGGTCTGGTTCCATTTAAAGTCAATAGACCTAATGACTGAGATCTTGGATTGAAAAAGGATTTTTTTTCCCTTTAAATGTTTTACATACTTTGTGTTTTTTCCAATTTCTTCTTTAAAAATCTTAGTGCTATTTATTTTGCAGCTCTGACATATCTTATGGAGCCTTGATATTTTCTTTTAATGTTAAGAATCCAACTGAGAAAATATATGTTAGCTAAGCTACCAACCTCTGCAGAATTTCAGCAGCGTGCTACAATTGTGATTGCAATAGAAGCCCTCTGTTAAGCCAATTAAAGCAACAGCAAAATAATAATAGTTTGAATTAGTCTCCACCGTGGATCTCAAAGGACTTCAGAAACATCAAGGACCACTCTGACTCATGCGGAACAGTAAGCAACTCCACTGAACATAACAGGATGACTTTTGAAACAAGATACTATTCAATGTGATTAAAAGCACGTGGATAAGAATCTAACCCTTTACGATTAGGTCTGTGTGGGTGAGCGCAGACAGACATGAGAGTGCTTCATCTGCGGTCCAACTTGGAAGGATGTAATAACTCAGCTGCTGCCCAGAGGCCGAATTAGTACAGTGCTGATTTTGAGCTAATACGTCGTGCTAACGAGAGTGTGCAGAGAAGGGGGTAGGTGGTTTTTACCCTGCCTGATTCCACACGGCCTGCAAGTCTCACAGACCTCTTGTGAAAATAAGGGATTTAGAACAAAGGAGGAAGAAACAACCTGGCTGTTCACTCAGGCTGTAGCTAAAAGTAATGCATGCGGTATTCTGGTGGGTACTGAATGTGTTGAATTGTATCTGCTGCAGAGGAAGAGCTGCTGAGCTGCCAGGCTGTGGGACTGACTGAAGGTCAGCTCTACAGAACGGAAAGGCTCTCACGGACTTTGGTGGGCTATGGCTCAGGTGATGTCATATCTTGTACATTTCCAAGCGAAAAGAAACAGAAGATGATTTTAAACCCACCCTGAATTTGAAATGCGCCTCTGTTTATGTAGAACAGGATGATTATTTTAAAATTTCATAGCACAAATACAGTTTAAGGCAGCAAGCAAAGAAATCTAACTGCTATAGCACTTTGATTTTCTGTGTCTTCCAAAGCAGACAACTGCTAGGTCACTGGATTAATGCAGATTCAGAGGAAAGAAAAGAAGCAAATGTTTCACCAACTATAAGCCCACAGAACCCCTTTCAAGTCAGCATCTGGGCTCTGCTAAGTCATTCCTCCTCTATCAGAAGCACCTTTTGCATCGCTAGATGCAGAAGGCCACACTACTCCATCGTAATATGCAAGAGCCCAGGTTTTACAAACTGACGGGATCATGCTACAAAATGGCATGCTTGCATCAAATGGTATGCTACAAAATGGTACACACAAAGGGAAACAAGCGTCAGCTACAAAGCAAATATACACTACTTAGAGAACAAAATAATGATACCTGTCATTAATGAAATTGTTTAAAAAACCCTTCAGAACAGCTGGGCTGGTTATGTCAGAAAAAGAGAAACAGTACCACAAACACATGCTAAAGTAACAAAGAAGGGGGGAAAAGTGCAAATATATACCTGTTGGTGTGAAGGTAAAAGACGGGACTGAAAAATCAAAACAAAATACAAACTGGTTATTAAGCTGAAGAGAGAAAGGGAAACATACCACATTAGTATAAATCTAGCAGACAGCTGAACATAAAACAAATGTATATAACTAACCCAGTAGTTCAGTCACATTGATATAGAAGTAAAATTAAATTTGTGATTCAGAAAGAAAAGCTTGTCTCTGCAGGTACCATTCTGAAAGCGAAGCTTGATATTCTATTGTGCTCCTGAGGGGACCAGACCGTGGTTTAGCCTTTCAACACCCCTCGGTTTGGTATTTTAAGTTTTTCTGGAAATCCTAGCACAAACAAAACCCCCACACTGTTAATCATTTTAGAATGCAGAATGACAAATTCCTTAACAAAGCCTTATCAAGGTCCTATTGAATCTTATCTGCAGTTCACTAAGTAAATGCTCATTGCGCTGAACTAATAGGCACGCTTAAGTATTCAGTAAGGAAATAATAATCATATAAAGGAACAAAGAGAACTGCTGTTTTACCGTCTCTGAATCAAGAATGGCACCAACTTGCACTATAATAAAGGCACTAAAATCTACTGCAGCAATTAATTTTTGTTTTCATAGAGGAGACTGTTAAAAAAAAAGTTATTTGCTTTCTTTCTTATATAATTATAAAAAAAGGTAAAAGATCTCCCGAGATGTAACACCTTTCTACCTTTCAACCCTTGGCTTTAAGAGGGAAAGGTTAACAACGGAACAATGACATTGCTTGACAATCTCCATTCTCACAGCTACTATAAATCCTCTCTGGATCAATAGGGTCTCTAATCCAAACACAGAGCACTAGCATCTGCTCTTCCTATTAGCACATGCTCCCCCTCCTGTTGACAAGACAGTATAGTTTTTCTATCACTGATGGGCAAAAAAAGGCTAACATTGCCCTTTATGATCTAATGACAGCAAAGAGAAATGTAAGAGAAACAATAAAATATTCACTAAAAGTAGCCTTGAGACAGGATTTGATCAGCAAACCTGGCACAGAAAGAAAAGGTTCTGGCTATGATAACAACTGCTTAATCTAATTTTTACAATAACTCTGACATTTGGGGGGAGTCCAGAGTGTCCTGTTGTTATCATTTAGGATATGCTGCAGTTTCTCCCCCCTTTTACCAAGCCAATTTATTTCCAGTGATATGACACTAAGCAAAAAAAGAAAAACCTCTGAGCATTTGCCCATTTCAGGCTTCATTTGTAGCACAGCTCTTTATCTTGGGAATTCCATTGTATTTTCTTTGAGTTAGGCCTTTTCACACAGTCAAGTTTAATTTAGCTACATTCAAAAATATAGAACCATAGTAACAAGCTTTCATTAAAATAGAAGGTGCATTTAAACCAGAGCTATTCAAAAGAGAATCAAGTGTCTCAAAATTAATTTGCAATCGCAAGGACATGAAAAAGAAATCTTAAACTACTGTCTTATTACTCTTCCGTGATCTAAATACTAAACCTAGTTTCGTTTCTTAAGGAACTGAGGAACAGATGAACAGAGGTTCAACTAAATGAAATCTTTATCGCTACCACACGAAAGAACAACTTAATTCTCAGAGCTTCTATTAATAAACTCTTCTGAGTGTGTAAGAGTGCTAGTACAATATGTATGTGTGGGAGTAGTGAAGTATTTTAACAGATGTCAGGCCTGAAGCTAAATATAAAAATAAATAAATAAATGCAAGACTGAAGAAAGTTTGGGCTTGCAGTGATGGCTTGATGCACTGCAGAGAGGCAAACTACTTTGCAATTTATATTTCACTAAAGATGTTTTTTTCCTTGAAGAATACTTGATAACGGAGATGCAGACCCTACTTTTCTCTATATTTTCATCAAAATCCCCACCAAATTACACAAAAGATATTTTTACAGATATCGAAAAACACAGCTGTTTTGAACAATAGCTGATGTCATTAAAGTAACCATTTTTAAGGACAAATTGTATGCCTTTTGCTTAATCATAGGTACTGCTGAAAGCATAGTGATGTTAGTTTGATAGAACTGTAGAAAGGCAGTATGGCAGCATGCTATTAGTAAAACAAAACAGCGCAGGCCAATGAAGCAGTATGTCGGGCTCTGTCTTATCTAAGAAATCCTAGCAGAACTAAATCAAAGGTGAAATTCATTCCCAGTTTCTGTGGTTACAACTCTGCTACAACCACTGTTCCTGATGTCTACCGTGAGCTTTGATACTTTAACAGCACAGAGGACACCTAAACTCTGCAAGACTTCAGAACTATTTCCATGTATCCGCTCACTCAGTTCCTATTTTTAGCACTGCTTCTTCTTCATAGCAACACACCGCTACTGTTTAAAAACATTTGTGTTATATTTGCCTATCTGTCTTGTCCATCACACATTCATTCTTGAAGTGACTAAAAAACGTATTCTCATGACAGCTTTCATATATTAAGATGTGTGCACCTTTTAAGCCTAGGTCTATCTTTTGATTGCTAAATATCAAACATTCTCCCTCTATTCCTTCAAAAGCAGGATCTCCCATTTTCTGATGCATGCCAGAATTTATGGTTCTTACTCCAGGAGTGCCTGTGAGGTACTGCTTTGAGATGTAATGAACTGTAGCTTATTGAATTCAGCTTCAACATTGGGGCTTAATCAAAAGATTATTGAATCAGGAGAAATCAAGTTTTTGTTCCAGAAGATCTTCCAGGTAGAGATTCTAGTTTTGTTTGTCACAGAGTATACTGTAAAGCACTGCTTGCCCACCGACAATCTGACATAAAAGCTATCAATAACATGAAAACGAAGAGTGCTTTAAGTTAGTCCCACTGCTGCCATTCTAACCGAATGCAGATGCAAGACGTGATAGCCCCAGAATTCAGTCCCAATGAAGGGTCTCGCAACAGCATTTATTTTTTATTATTTACTGTTCTGCTTTTGCAAACAGCCACTTCACCACATTCCCCTGGAACATAAGGAAATCCAAGTACACGCACCAAAAGCGTTACTGTAATGTACACCACTGTTAGTAACCTTAGCAGCAAGCAAAGGACCGAACAGGAGGGATAGTGAGCTACCATCCACTTGGCTCCTTTTCAGATGGTACAGTGTCAGGTTGCAAGGGCATATTGGGAGCTCCCAGCTTTAAATCCATCTTTACATTTCTCATTTGTAGGAGTATCTTTATGAAAAGCTAGTCTAGGTATTTTGCTAAAGGCTTATGCTTTAAAGCCGGGTTTAACATGTTATGTAAATATTGCTGCTTTCTGCACTGGCTCCTGACCCACACTTCCTGAAAGTATTTAAGTGATTTGATAATTCCTGCATCAAGTCTTAGAAGAATGAGAGACTGATGATAAAGTAAATAGCCAGTAAACAGGCATTCAGCAGCCAGCAGAATGAAATATATAATATGGCACCTTTTCTGATACCAGCGTAAGTACTAGTGAGTCCATTTCGCTTCTTCCTGTGGCGATATAACCAGATGCTGAAGACCATAAGGATAATCCAACAGGCTGCACCAATTCCAGCAATAAAGGCAGGCTGCCTTACTACATCAGAAATCTGCTGGGCTAAACTGACTTGATCTTCTGAAGACACAGGGTTTCCATGAGAATCTGAAAAATAGACACCCAAAAAAGCCAATTAATTTGAATGAGCAACTGTAAAAGGCGGCATGAAAAGAACTGACATAACCAGTAGTCCAGTTTTTCAAGGTAAAATCCTTCAGACTGCTCTTCAAAATCTCTTTTTATAGGTCTAGATAGAAACGGTTTGTTTTCCATACAAGACAGGTACCTCTAACTTCACTGACTCATTTGTTTACAAAACTTGCTAAAATCAGGCCACTAGGCATACAAATAGGCTCATAAATTTCAAACTTGGGGACTGCTATTTTTTTAATTTTTATTTTAGCAAAGCAACACCAGCTTCAGAAAATTATTTAGAAAGGCAGCAAAGAACACAGCAAGTAAAAGAAAGCTCAAGTATGAAACATGCAGTCTGTTCTTTCAGCTCTGCGAATGGGCAGAAGTCAGCTACCCAAATATCCACTCTCATAACTGAAAATCACAGAAGAATTACAAATTCAAAGTACTTTCACATGAGGTTGGTATTGAGGGATACATTTTAATTTAGCAGTTCCTGACAGATGACTTAAATCTTGTATTACACAGTCTAACGTACTCTTTGCAGTCTCTCGCTTTGACCTCAATTAAATAAGACCGAATATTTAAACGGACATAAAGAAGTAAAAGTACAAAATAACCAATCCTGCCCTCTTGACGTGGATGAAAAAGCTAAAGGATAACTAGAAAATGAGTTATGAATCGGTAAAAATAGTCAAGCAGTCTTATTATTACTGAACAAGCAGCCCTTTTCAAAAACAGTTTATCCTTAAATATCCCACATAAAAAAAAAAAGAACATGCATTTTTCCACACACTTTCAATTTTTTTTTTTTTTTTTAATAGAGAAAGCACCTGTAAGAATCCGTTTTTTCTGCTTGTTCTGAACTGAACTTTTGCAAGAACCTTCTAGGAACAGCAGTTAGAACATTCAGTTAGTGACCAATGTTTTCTAACTGAAATGAAACAACGCAAAGACAAAATACTGCCTTCCTGATGTTTTACCACTACAGTGAGCACTTACTGGAAATTTCATTACTGCACAGGGTGAGGGCAAGAATTTGAAACCTTTATTCAGAGCAGATATTGCTTTACACATTCCACAGCTTAGCCTTTGAAATACCCATTTTTACTCTTGTGTAAATCCAACAGTTAGTGCTTTTTACTATGGGTAGTGACATCATATTCAGAATGAGAGATGAGTGTTTTAAGGAGGAAGGTGTTGTTATTAATTCTATTAATATAAACCATATAAGAAATGAAAACCTACTTACTTAAAAAACAATACCTTTTCCCTATGAACTAAACAGTGGATAGATTTTTATTTTTTTTTATGATGACATGTCTTGCATTACTCCAAAGTAAGCCTAAATAAAATATAAGAAACTGCAATACAATCAGGAGACAGAATCACAACAAATCATACAAATAACAAACCTCCTCTGGAAAAGGATACCTTTTTGAATGGGAAATGGTTAAATTAATAACAGCTTCTTCCAGTGAAGAATTCCAGATCTCTGTTTTTGCAACATCAAGGTCAAATACCTATTTTGCCGAGGAATCACCACCGCCTTTGACTGCTATCTTATTGGAAATTTTATTTCGTATTTCAGGTCCCTTTATCTTCTGTGATCCTGAGTGCACTGCCTAGTCTGAAAGTTCACCACGCAGACTCATTCTTTTCTTACTAATACACCCCTTGTGTCTGCTGGGTTTATAGATTTCATGCCTATTTGTGCAAGGTTAAGATGGGTTGCTTCAGATTTTATAGAGACAGCCAAGTGAAGTTCCACTCAAGTGGCCAGATGGGCTTAAACGTATAAAGTATACTGTGACCAATGAATTAAATCTGTCACTCTCTATCTCATCTTTTGTCTCTTTGCAGCTGAGGCCATATTGAGATCTGAAAACTTGCATCATCAGTCTCTTTTCAAAATGAGTAAGCTTACTATTTCTATGTTTTTAAACAGCTACACTACCTTGTACACCTTAATAGAATAGAACAAAAGATTTCTGGAGAACATATGGTCCTGAATAAATTTAGAAGACTGATACATATTTTTTCTCTAGTCCTTTAAATATATATATTTAAAGCAATAAATCCAGGGCAAAAATAATCACAAATTCAAAAGCCAAATAAGAATGTTTTTTAAACGCGTCGACAATTCAGCCATACAGAAAGACAGTAATCTTATCTATATATAAACATTTTGCATTGCTCAGTCAATGTATGTCTGAAGAGTACAAAATACTGAAGAATTTCTTTGAACATTTATTGTTCTGTTTTTTAGTTAAGGTTCATTACATGGTATTATTTTGCTAGCCATTGCAAGCATAAGAACAGCATAATAATATATTTGCTTTAGAAACTAATCTTATGGTACGTTGTACATGGTTGGACTGTTAGAGCCATCACATTAAATTAGGTCGTATATATTTACACACACGGTGAAGAGAAAAATGCGTATGTGTTCATGTAGAGACATATAAACAGCATCACAGAAAAGAAGATGGAAGGGCATTCAAGAGGCCACGTTTGACCCACGTTCTGCTCCTCTTACAATTCAAAAATAGAAAGTAAGCTAAATATAAAGCAAAGAGAATTAAATCTAATGAACCCCTTATTACTAAAAATTTCCAGGAACATTATCTTGGAAGCCTTTCTTTGAGAAGGGCATCTTCCCTCTCCATAATAGTCCTGTGAGATCCTGAATGATCAGTCAGGAAAAAAGCTCTTGAACTAAAAAAAGTACTTTTTCTTCATCCCAGGAAATTTCTGGAAGCTTTGACTGAGATATAAATGGTTCATAATCAACATTCCTGTTCCTGCTTGCACTCCTCGGCGAGACGTGCCAAAATAATAAGTGAACATAAACATTCTACGGCAAAGCACATCTTACTGCCAGAGTAGCAGCCGCAGCATTTAATGTACTTGAAAATGCCTCAGAGTTGTTGGCGCAGGCTGATCCCATAACTCCCTGAAACCAGCATATTATCACAGTGACTCATCCCTTCTTCTTCTGCCTCAAGATAAGAGCCTTCTTTTTAATCACAGATAATGTTGCTATGGCTATTGCTTGCAAGCTACTCGATTCGACTGTCTTGAAGCTCCAAGTTTCAAACTTCAACGAAAACTAATTAGAATTTACATTGAGAATGGAGACCTCTAATTCTCTAATGTTAAATATTATTATTATTATTATTAATAATATTAATAATAATGTAAAAACTAACACTTAAGTTGTTAAATGTTAAATAGCAGATTAAAATACAATTAAGATTGGAATGCCAAAGATTCAAAAAAGACAGGAAATTCCAGGTTCACAGGTGTGCAAGCAACCTTAACTTTGCCCTGTACGTGTACAACCTATGGAGTGGTACTTTTCCATATGCCTGTCACATTTAGTATACAAAATGTGTGAACACTAAGTAGGAAGATCTAAATTGTTGACGTTGCTAATTCTGGCAATTCAAAACTTGCAAAACACCTGGAATCTGCAACATGATGTCTGAGTTTTTCCTCAAATATATGTGCATGATGCAATATGAAAATTACCTGGTAAAATATTACCAGGTTAAGAATATGCTGTTTTGTCTCCTTTCTAGTTATATACGTATCCAAAACTGGAAAAATATCAGTTTTCCACTTCAATCTTATAACATACAGTTTGAGGAGACAGCACCAAACTGGTTTGGAAGGGTTTGCTGTGAGGGGAAAAAAACAGATTACTTTCTTCGAGTCATTTGCAGGCCACAAGACAAAAATATCAACAAAAAAACCTTACAACTATCACACTAGAAGTACTTGAAGGGCTGACAGGATAATATCCCTGAAGGCATGCTAGCTAGTTCACAAGTCGCATATCCTAAATGAAGCAATTAGAACAATAAAGATTCAATGAGACTTTCTTGTGTTTTATACACTTGAGACACCCACTTGTTCAATAACGCACTCAATATTTATAATAATTGTGCAGACATCTCTTAATAAATAACTGCATACCATATATTCATACAAATTATGCGTTTAAGAGGAACATTAACTGCAGTTGTGGTGCTTCTCAGAGCTGGTACCCTGAACAAAATATGTTGCAGTATGTTCGAATTTCACTACTTATTTGCCAAGAAGCATAAGTAATACTGCCAAGCTATCATAGGTAGTATCCCATCACTGTACAAAGGTTAGGCTAGAGATCAGCAAAAAATAATTTATTGTGATAATTCTCACCTTTCTATATGGAGCATTTTTGTAACCAACGTCCTGAAGTTACATGTCGTGACAAGAAAAGAGTTCTATCAAAATTCTATGATTTTTTTTCTCCACAGCACAGTATTATAAGCACAATATAGTGAGCTGTGGCTAGCTCTCATGAAATACAATTTTTTTCCTTAACACCAAAGCTCTTGCAGTCTTTCTTTATGTAAAATATCAACATTTCTTTTAAAACAAACAAACAAATGGTTTTCCAGCCCTTGGAATTCCACAGAAAGCTTTAAAAGGTCATTCAAAAGCCAAGAGGAAAACTCAGAAGCCCCAAGGGCGGTGTTTTAAGAAGACACATGATTTTTCAGTTGATCTCATGATTTTAAACACTGAAAGGTGATTTTTGAATAACAAGCAAGTATATTGTTGGCTTGTCCCTGATGGCATGGGAAGTCTGGGGTACCGCAGCTCAGTGAGCTGCTTCATGTCAGCTGAGACATGGAAAATGAAAGAGCTTTGAGCTTACAATTTATACCTGTCTTTGTAACAGGTTAAGTGCGTGCGCAAGGTCAGTCATCACAGCTCAGCTGATGCATGGGACTGCTATTGCACGTCTCAGCTCTTGGACAATCCAATGTCTCCTGTCCTCCCCTCCTGTTCCGGAAGGCGGCCTCTGAAAGGTGAAGCTTCCTCCTGTCGCACAGCCGGCTGAAACTCTGCCCAGGCATTTCTCACAGTCACAAACCCAGGAGGCACCCTACACAGCACGCAGACTCAAATACAAGGTCGCTGTGCGAGAGAGTAGGCTACGCTGGGGAAAAAGCCCTCTTCTTTGGATGCTCCAGGGCCAACCACAACCTAGTCTCACAGTTTTGTAAGAAAGACACACTATAAGGAAACAGACATTTGACTTTAATGAAAAGTTCTTAAAAAAAAGTGAATATCTAAACCACATAGTATATCCTGTTTCCACACACAGAATTCTTAATTAGTTAAAAAAAAAAAAAAAAAAAAGGATTGTACTAATTCAGGTATCAGGAGAAGATTTCCTGAAGGAATAGTTAGGATCAGTGACAGAAACGTAGAAACTTGAAGCTGTCAGTGGCAAACATGCAGTTCCTAGAGCACGTAGGTACAGGGAGTCAAGACTCTTTCAAGCCTTCTAAAAGTAGCATCCTTAGTCCTCTCTCCTCCCCCTCCCTGGCCTCCCTTCTCTCTCTCTGTAACCATGTAATTTATTGCTGGTGAAAAGTGCCAATTGATGACATCAACAAATTAATTTTTCTTCAGAAGAGCTACCAGAAAACTCCAGTGTCTGCTCCACCCCCATGGTGGGAGCACATCCAAGAACTAAGAACGCGATTCCTTGCGGGGGCTGCAGGAGAACTTGTATCACAGGGTAGAGTTAGGTAAACTGCAGCCATTCCTCTGCCTTGATGATCTTAGGTTGATGGGTGCTACTAAAGGGTATTCCTCTTAAATTTAAGTACTAATTTTCAACAGCCTTCTGCAGTTGCCGAAAGGACTGCAGCACTGTCTAGGTATTTCTTTATGCTGCTTCTAGTGGCATGTATCCCCACAAGACTCCCGTCTCCAGGTCTTTGCCCTATAACAACCAAATTATGGGATTTCTATGCAGTATATGTAGATTTGGCCATGCCACTTAATTAGAAGCAAGCAGTACAGACTATGAAAGCAAACCCCAGCCACAAGGAAATACGTGGATTCTACCAGACTTGCACATTTGAACACCCTCTGAGGCGTGCGATTGCTTCCTGCTTTCTAACACAGTGTCAGTAAAGGCTAGCAACCCAGAAGCAGGCAAAAATCTTACCCCGACAGAGTCTCATTTGTTTCTTTTTCCACTTACCAAAACCCTAAAGTGATTAAGTTCCATTATAAAATTCACCTTCATTTAGCATTTGCTTATCATCAGAGAAAAGGAAAAAAAATAGTTATGAAGTCTTTGGCTTTGAACATTGAGGTTACCCCATTATTTTACACTCATAAGCCTCACTCATTTAAAATTTTCAAAATCTAAGCCATATAGAACAAACTTGACTTTGAGTGGAAAGCTGGCTGTAAGAAGCTGTGAATGAAAGCTGGCTGTAGAAAGGAACATTCCAACAAGTAACTATGGGGTTTTGGACATATTAATGGGATATCATATAAGCTGTGTGCAATTTTGTCGTAAAATCTCTATTAATGTAATTGGGAATCATATCCCTGTATCAGTTAAGTAAGTTAAAGATGACCTTCATTTTAGTAGCCAAGGAAATGTACATGTAATTTTCCAGAGAATATATTAGTCATTCGGTCTTGTTTTCACATGCAGTAATTATAGATTTTTTAATATAAAAAGTGAAATAACAAGGAAGATCTACTAATGATACAGAGACAGACGGGACAAAAAGTCCGAAGCGACATGCTGAGTTTGCTTTCACAATTATATACTGTAATGATAAGGTATTTTGATACAGGCATACTGGTGAAGAAGCATATGACCATACCTAAAGCTATTTCAAATAATCTTCAGCTAACCAACAGCAAAGATGCATTTCTCCCAGATACATCCAGGAGCAATGCCCCTGATCTGCATTTATGACAGAGAGATGTTTGGCGTAAATGAAGTCAGGAGGTCAAGATTATTGTAAGTCATCTGTGTACCTCTTTTTCCTGTACTCAGGTTATTTACTAGCTTTCACACATAGCTGATATTTATTGTGCCTAATTTTAGCATGCTCTTGGTTTTTGCTTCAATAAAGAAACATAAAATCTGATCAAGACAAATTACATCCCTGAACTAAACTGAGCCAACGCTTAGTGTTTCATACTCCCTTACATGTTTTATTATACCAGTCTTAAGTGTGAAAATTCAGTTTGAAAAATCAATAACCAAAAAGCACTGCTGAATTGGGAGATTAAAAAAACAATCGTGTTGTTATAATCCCATCTTTAGAATGCAGTTCTAAGGCAAGTTTAAAACCAGAAATGTCAAATCCTGCTGTTCCAGAGATCAAGTAGCACTATCTATTTCACTTGCCTTGAAAGTATTTCCGGTGCCATAAAAGACAAAAGCAAACAAACAAAAATCATTGAAACCAATAGGTAGGATTACCAGCAGGCTTACCTAATTGGATAAACTGGGGATCGCTTTTCACTCCAGGTCCTGCCCCAGTACTTGCTGCCACTTCCACGCTATATCGAATACCAGGAACCAGGGAGGGGATGACTACAGAAAAGGTGGAACCATCTACCGTCTTGTTTATATGGTATCGACTTTCATTGCCAAGACACCAGACCTGCAGGGAAGTAAGTGTATGGTATGTGTAAATGTTCAAAATTCAACTCCAAAGGACAAGTAGAAGGAAGGATGACACATTCTTTTCTGCTGGATAAAGAAATCTAGAATTTGTCACTACTCTAACACCTGCAGTCATGGATTTCTGTCCTAGGCACTGTATGAATACTGAAAAGATACTTCTTGTTCCAAAGAGCAGCTCCAACGACTAAAATTATTTGATAGGTTTATCATCATTCATTTACAGTTCAACCAGTGACATCAGTGCTAATAAAACTAAAAGCATTAGTAACATGGAACACGTAAGGGAAGCCCCATAGCCAAGAATTGTTAACATAAACAACAAAGTAAGAGCATTCAGTTAAATGACTGTGCAATTCTCTTGCTCGGGAATCATTTCGTCAGGCCAGGCTTTCTTCACTCAAGTGCACGGGCAAGTCTTTCAACATGTGAGGTCACAAGAGAACCGATGTCATGCTGGAAGCCAAACGTTATCTTTTTTTTTTTTAAAAATGGCAGCAAGAGGCAAGGACTAAGTAATATGCCATCTTCTATTGAGAGACAACTGCATGATATCTGATCTCATTTTTTGGTTGAGATCAGGACACAGGTCTAACGACTTCGCCACTTTATACATTTATACATTTATTACATCAGTGATATTAAATGATTGGGAGAAACAATATGATGAGATATTTTTATCTCTTTAGGCCTGCACCATTGATGTGGCAAGTGCTTTTAAGAGTATGATTGAACTCCCAACTGCTATTAAAGGTGAAGTAGCAGCTAATCTAGATCTGCTAAAAAATTGATGAAGCTGTGTTGATTTCCTTTTTAATCCCTGCCACAAATGTACTGCTCTACAATGAATATTTACCCAGAAAGTTAAATTAGTTAAATTCAGTAAATCTGTAAAGAAGCGAACTTTCCTGAGAACAGCAGCATTTCTGAACCTGTGCTGACTGTACACAGGAGGGAAGATTTTGCTTTTGACATATGGAGCTCCTAAAAGATTTAGTATGCAGATAGCTGCTCTTAATCCCTCGTGCGATTCTACAGCTGTGGAGATTGTCAGGTGAGTGAGCTAGAGTTTCACATATAGAACAATTGCTAGGCCCCTTTCTGTAGAGTCCTTTCTGCCTGGACACTGGAAATTTTATTTCATTTTCAGGACACTGTAAGACCCTTTTTCCTTCTCCGGATGCCAAGGATTGAAACAAGGCTAGTGGGACACCGTGAGGATCTGAAATGTATTTTAAGCTCCTTTGAAATAGAATCCCAACACAGCATATACATAACTGCTGCTGCAGAGCAGGTCAGAGCACATGAAGAGAATCTCCTGTTTATATTCTGATACTAAGTAGAGACTGTTTTAGTCAGTAGTAGTAGTATAATTATTAGTAATATTAGTAATATTGCTCTTAAATCCTAAAGGATGGTCCATGAAAATGCTCTTATGTAAATAAGAACTCAATAAAGAGAGGAACAAAAGATTTAAATCTACATTTTGACTTATGTCACTTTCACAGAAATTGTTACTGCCACCTTGTACAACGGCGTATGCACAAACAAGAAAAATAATTTATTATGTACTTGTAACTATGCACTACTCATTCATGAAAATGTTTTGTTCTTAGGTGCTCAAATACATGGAGAAATTCACAAAACAAGAATGTTAAGTTAAACATCAGGTTGTTCAGTACTTGACATACTTCATTTGATTGTATACCTAAATAGGCAAGTGAAAATGAACTTTTAGAATGTTATGAAGGACAGAGGAATTCACATTACAGTAGACGCATAACTGAAGAAAGAATTAGTATAACGAGAATTTCTAACTTCATGCTAGGGAAGGAGGGAATGATTTCTGTTGTGATTTGAATTTCTGGCTTTTTGTGTGTGCTACTGACACTTCCTCAATTAAGATGGTATCCTCCTTCCTATTTATTTTATCCCTTAATTAAAGTAGGTACCCTTTTGCCTTAGATCTGAGTTGCTGAAAAAACAAAAGAATTCCTCAAATATGTGTACCTTTTTTTTCTGGGAGAAAACATAGGAGACTGAAAAACAAAGAGGAAAGAAAAAAGAGAAAATTTTACACAACTTTTATTTGTTTTTTTTTCTCCTTATTAGTTCTTAATCTTAAATCACTGGTTCTGCATCTATTTAGTTTTTAGACAAAAATATTAATTACATATAACAACTTAAATAGCAATTCCATATATATTCATTGTGTCTGTTTTCTGTCTATGGTGAAAAGCACAAAGGAAAATAATGGCATCCACACAATAATGTAGATGTGAAACATGGCAGTATGCCACCTACTGCTACACAAGCACTACAAGATGCTTGTTCCTACACCTGACAGCCTATTACCTCTGAATGCTAGGAGGTATGTTAGGTATTATATCCACTCGGAAATATGAATTTCCTGACTTTTATTGTTTTGTCCTTACAACCATAACATTCCTCTGATGCAGTTTCTTGATGGAAATAATTCCATCTCTTCAGCTCAAGATTTGTCTTTAAATAAAATAACTTTGCAAGTATTTTTTCCAATTATATTATATATCTGAAACTAAGCCATAAACTGATTTTTTTACCAGTTGACCAGGTTCTGAAAGGCGTTTTATTATTCTAAATTGACCATGAAGCTTAGCGATCTCTTCCCTTTCCCATTTCTACTGAGGGGAAAAAAAAATAGCAGAATGAGTTTTGATGGCTAGAAATATATGTCTATAGCACAGTGTTTTAACCTGAAAAATAACCAAGACATTCTCATTCGAAAAATTTTCTCAATAATGCGCATTTGCAGGAGACTGAAACCAAAGATCCTGCCTCTCAGTGGCTATAAAGCTTGCTTGATATCCACAACTAGACATTTAAAATGTCTGCAGCTTGCTTAGGAAAAATAAGCTTTATTTACTTTGCTATATAAATTACCACAAAACAATCTGAACTGAAAATAAATAGTGTATGTTGCTAAATGAGCATCAAATAATAAATATTTTAAAACGCACTTACAATTTGTTAAAAATTAAATAGCATAATGAGAACTGTTTGTGTGAAAGAAAAGAAAAATTTCTACATGCTAAATACATTTATTATTATACAAGCACATTCTTTACTTGAAAGTTTTCCATTTATTTTAACTACGCAGTTACGAATAATTTACTCGGATCTTAACACTGTTAATTATTATCCCTGAGCTTTTTAACTCATTAAGCCTGTTTATATTTACTACCTCGGCCAATGTCTGAGAGTCACAAAACAGTACTCAAACAAGTATGGTTCCCCCTCTACTTGTGTACGCATTTCTCAAGTTATGATGAAGGCAAGAAGGTGGTTGTTCTAATTAAGAGTGTTGACCCTTTGCTTTGATTTATGGAGGCTGTTTTAATTGCCTTCTACCATCTAGACAGAATTACTAAATATGGAGTTTGATTCAAAGTGATTTTCTCTCTTATTTGCTCTGACTAACCAGTAGATGGAGCCAAGCATCCACGAACAACCTACTCTCTCACTACCTGGGCAATGCCCCCTCTGCCATGGGATGCAGGCATGCCAGCAGTACCTTGTATTCTTGAACAATCCCGTTCTGGTTGTCCTCGGGGGGCGGCTGCCAGGTGACCACAATTGCCGTCCCGTTCCCATCGTTCTTAGTTACTGAAACACTCTGAGGTGGAGCACTAGGAGCTGTTTGTTTGGAAAGAAGGATTGAACGGTTAAGTTTGTCACAGGCAGAAGTGAGCTTTTTTAAGAGGAAGATGGTTTCTGGGCTATACAAATGCATTCTTTGATGCCCCACCCTTCACTGAGGGCAGTTCTTGCCCACAAGATAAAGTGATACAGAAGGAAAGCGATGTGAACCTGCAACCAGGCTCCTGAGTTCTGCTGCAGTCTCGCTGTGCAGGGCAGGAAAAGTCACACTCGTCACCAGACTCTCCAAACTCAGATACTCATTACCTGAATGTCACAGTCCCGAGCACCGAGTTCCTCATTGGTCTCAAATCATCTCACCCAGGATCAACAGTTTTTAAAAATAAAAGTCTATAAATTGACCCCAATAGAATGCTAAATCTCAGTTCCTCTAGTGTGTAAATAATAATAACGAGTAATGCAAAACTCAGTAAAATCAGGACAGAATGTGTTAATATTAACACATTTATAATAAAAATTTATGTTTTGCATTTTAAATAGTCTTTCTAAAAACTGGATGCTTAACTCTTGGGATGAAAGCAGTTAAGCACACCTCTTGAACCACTCGCATCCATAAACCAGAGCTACACGGCATTTATACTGAGTAAGGAAGAGAAAGGGGAAAGGTTGCATATCCCAACAGAGGCACTGAAATACCTATTCAGAGGCACTGGCCGTCTTGCATACCCATTATGCCTAAGCAACAACAAAAGGAAGAGCTTCATGAACCTTCTCTTTTTAGCACATGTATGAGATGGAAATACATAATTTAGTCCACTATATCTGTTGCCCTCATTCATCTTTTCATTTTTGTCCTACTGATTGATCCAGATATAAAAGCCTTCGGAAAATGTGGTTTCCATTCCCTCAGCTATAGCGCTTTGATGATTTCTGTGGTGTCTGCTATCTACTCAGGATAGTGATTAGCAAGTGCTTGAATCTGACAGAAGTCACTTGTGACCAGACCGTGAACTCAGCAGGGAGGAGTGCACACTGCAGCGAAGATAAAAAGCGCATTTCCCATTGTGTGTTGGAGGGGATTTTTTGCACATCCCTCTCTCTCTGTCTCTCGCGCGTGGTTCTGAATATTTACTTCTGTGTCACCAAACAATTCACATAATGATCAGTCCAACACAGCCTCCTCTGCTGCAGATTGCTGTTCTCAAACAGCATGCACTTCAAACAAAATCAAATAACGAACATATCAGAGGAAAGCAGGCCAGACTACTACTTCAAAAAGGAAAGATGAAGACAGTCTGGCTCCTACTTGCCTTCTTCCAGGGTCTTTGCAAATTTCACTTCACTATCTGCTCCTTGAAACTCATTAAAAAAAGGGCGGGCCTTGATTTCGTAGTTTACACCTTTCTTCAGCTCAGGAATGATAACGCTGTTTTTGGTTGGAGTCCTCACTTCAAAGATTAACCACTCTGACTCTCCATAGGATGCTGGCGTAGGCCGGTACAGAATTTTATATCCTTGAATATACTGGGATTGCTGGTCCACCTGGCAAGACAGCAGAACACACAACACATCGTTTAACAAATATGAACCAGGAATGACGTCTGTGACACTATGCATGGTCCTTGGCCTGTCCGTTCATTTTATTCAAAGTAAACAACACGACCAAAGCAGATAAAGGCTCCTTGCATTACAGCAAATTACAGGCCTGATTCACAAGTGCATTAATCTGTTTGATGCTGGTAGAACTGCGCTAGTTTCCGTGGATTTATGAAGGCATTAAAGGGGGGATAACGGAGTTGTATAATATGCCCCAGCTCCGTGAAATGAACAGCCTTTGCATCCGCGGAGCAATGGAGCTCAGCACAGGCCAGACTTCTGCCCACCCAAATCTGCCTGGCAGGGCAGGGGGCACATGGGGAAAGGAGGGAGGGCAAGGGCAGGGGATCCACAGCTCCACGACTCAGGGTGATGAATACAGAGATCAAAGAGAGCGCCTGCCAACTCTCCCGAGGTGTGGAAGCCTCCCAAAATCCATGAAATGAGCACCGCTTCCTGCCTGCTTCCTTCTGGAGAAAGTGAATTGAGAGGGCAGCCAGCTGGCACTATCTCCATCCCTGCGATGAGGCTGGGCTCTGTCAGAGGGCAGGTTTGCCCCAGCACCTCCTCTGTATCCACCCACTCAGCGGGAGGCTGCTCTGCTGCAGGGAAGGGGCTGTTTTGAGAGGGCTCTGAACAGGCTCATAAAACTCAGTATGGTAACCCAGGTGAGATGTGGAAAAGCAGATCAAAACGATGCTCAGTGGTCCTGAGTGCTTTTTAGACTGAGGTCATTTTATATCACATGTATGCAGAAAGAGATCTTAATGTAAACGAGGGTGGGACTCAATGTGTTTGGCTATAGCTGAAACAGAAAGCTATCTTATAGAAGTAATCTCTCACGGAGCATTCACTATCAGTTTCAATTTCTGATGAATAAGAAAGTCCAGTAAGAACAACAAAAAACTTCTAAAAAGTGCATCAGATTTTCCCTATTTTCAAAAATCTCATACAGTGATATAATAACACAGTTTGCTTGCAATTTTACTCCAAAAAACAACACGTTTCTTTTTTAATAATCACATAAAGAATGCGTGTGTTAGCTGAAACTGAGGTAATGCTTATTTTTGAAATTGCAGAGAAGCCACAGGCCACCCAAGAGACCGACAAAAACTGCCTGTCTGGAAAAGGTTGTTCTGTAAGTAAAGGTCAAACAAAATCATGCTAGGAACCTCAAAGATGTTTTAAAGTTATTAGTTAAAGCAGGAGATTGCCTGCTGCAGGTGGCCGTACTGCAGGTGACAGTGTAATTACTGCCCAACACAGCAGACATTATTTGTACTCTTGCAGCACTGAGGAGCCCTGGTCATGGACCAGGACTCCGTTGGGCTAGGGCTCTTCTACAAAGTCAAAACGCCTTTTGTTCCTGCTCAAAATGTTCTGCCATGGCATGGCAGGGGCTACACCCTGTGCTCGCCTACATTGTCTCTGCCAATATACTGGCACGTTCAGATGGAAGTCCTAAAAAGGCCTCAAAGCTCACTCCCTTTGGATTTATTCCTGCACCTGGTATAATTATGCCCCATTTTTTGTTCATTCTGCATTCTATTTTAAACCTGCTCTTCTTTGAATTACATTTTCTTATCTCATTGCTTGTACTTGGAGCTTCCTGTATTGTTCTTTCTCTTCATTTCTAGCTCGTGTTTGTCAAATGTCTCCCACAGTAAGCCATGTCTAATCCTTTCTCTCACTGAGGCCTCAGCCTTGTAAGCCTACTTGAATCTTTTCCACATATGTTCCCATTGCCCTTGCTTCAGGACTCCTACAGTATTGTTTCCTCACTCTCATTTCCTCTGCTATACGCTCCATGCGGCCAACCTCCTGCTTCCTCCCACCAGGACAACATCAACACAACATCTGAAAACCATTCGCCCTTTTCGTCTCTTCTCCCTGTACTGTGCGTACTCATAGCGCTGTGGGAAAGGACAGGTTCAGATGAGGCTATATGGGTTTGGGTGTGTTTCTCAGTATGTATGTAGGATGGAGTTAACACTTTCAAACAGAATTATGCAGTATTTCTCTCCACTGGTGACTGACAGACAGGGAAGTGCCCATGTTATCTCATTAGGGGACTGATACACTTCTTACTGAAAGCAGTGCAAAAGCTTCAAATGATATGACTTAAGGCGGCTTTGATCAGTCCTTTAGCTTCCAGAGGAGGACTCTGAAACTCTCACCATATTGTAAACAGCACTCTCTATGGAGACATAAGCTGGTGAAAATGGGACAAAATTTAATGAAGTAGGAAAGCAAAGCCCAAGTAGCACTCATTCCAGAGAAAAACATTTGCAAGCATACAAACTACACAGCTTCTTAAAGTGTGACTCCACTGCAGGCAGTGCAATTCAGCAGTATATATAACCACCTCCATGATACAGATTTATACTTACGGTCCAATGAACTTCAATTGAGGAGGAAGAAAGGATAGTAGGGTTGTGCAGATGTAGTACCACATCACCTAGTTCTCTCTGGACCTGCTTGTGATCCACACCTTGACTTGTTGGTGGAACATCTGTAATAATTTAAGATTCCATTCTCACAAGTATATAAGATTATTATAATAAGTGTATGTAAATATAAATGAATATATCATAAAGTATGTGTTGCTATCACCAATGAAGTTTACCCTAAGTACTTCCCAATTATGTAAGAAAAAAACTACATGAAGTATTTTCCTGAGCAAATCACCAATGCTTAGGGTAGTACCAAATCAACACACTGCACTTTCTTTGACGGAGAGAAACAGGAGGGAAATGCCGCATAAAAAGAAAAACCACACTCAGGGTTGTCTTTTGTAAATTACTACAGCAGCAACTCTTTATTCTTTCCTGCTGGGAGGAGAAAACGTTCTATTATCCATTGCAAATTCCAAGAGACGAAGAAACCTATAAAGAAGCTGGCTCTTCAGATAAATTCATGGGCAAACTTACTGTTTTTAATTACAAAATAAATATAACTGAAGAAAAGAAAAATGAGTCATGTGGCTGCAGCTTCTCTGATGGCACGTGACTTCTGCAAACAGGAGGCAGAGCACAGCTGAGTGCTGTCTGACTCTTCTGACATTTGGTCTATCTTACAGCTAAAAGAACTGCTCATACACATGAAGGGATAAATTCCTCTCAAAATATGCAATGGTACAACGGAAACACGTATTTTCTGCATGCAGAGCCCTTGAAAAGCATATTTAACTGAAACGGAACGACTGTCAGATGTATAAAATTTATAGGGCAATCACTAATAGGGTGTCTAAAATATACATGTACTATGGACAGCAGAGTAACATAGTTTCTGTATTGATTTCGTATATCTCTCTTCGATCACTTCATTTTAAACAAATACCATGCTGACTATGGCTAAAAATCACAGACTGGGAAATTCATGAAAAGTACTTACAGTGATTTCTTTCTTTTTTTTTTTTTTTAATTAATCTAATTCCAGATACAGAATAATGCATTATATAAACTTTTATCTAGCCTACTACTACTTCCCTGCCTGACCTCCGCTAGTGACAAAGCAAGATGAGGAAATGTTCAAGGGTTCTGTTCGCTGAAGACCTTGGAAACTTCCACACCTGTGTGCTTACAAGAAGTGCCAAAGAGAGAGTACACAGAAATCACATATATGTTTATGTACAACAACTACAACTACTGTAGTAAGTCACTGTAGGTGTGTAGACTATCTTGAAAGCTGAGGTTTGGCTAGCACCATTGATGCTGATATAGAAGACACTTATTAAATGGAAGTGCAACAGTTGTAAAGCATGCTTTTTGCATGGTGGTTGTACTCCCAGTTTACCAGCTTTTGGTCTTGCCCAAATAATAACAAAACCATTGTAAGACTGCATTAGGACAAGGCATGAGGACAAGCTTCTTTCCAGAAATATAGTTCCCATTGGGGAACACAAAGCCTATGTCGCTTTGAACTTTTATAATACAGTTTCCTCAACATATTTACAAGAAGATGGGATTTTTTCTAAGTTAAAGCAGCAAACTGAGGTTAGCATGCCATCAGTAGGTGACAAATCTGGATTCTTAACAAGGAACACTGATAACAACAAAACAATAGAACCCAAAACCCCTCCACTGAGTCACTGCTGTGTCCACATGTAGTATGTTCCAACAAACAGACCATTTATCAGACTATTTCCCTCCTCTGAAAGTTGGAAAGCATTAAAGATAGAAGCTTCTGTTTGGAGCGTTGCCTAAATACCATCCTGCTTAGAATGTAACAGGAAAGTCAGTGGAATAATTAGTTCTATCTTTGCTAGTCATAAAAGATGAGTCATGAACAATATGAATCAAACTATTAATAGGCTCAGCCATTTGCACATCTGTGCTATACTACAATACTTGTGTTTTCTTGTTTTGCCTCCAAGCTTCCAAGACAGGGACTGTCAGTGAGAACACCTAAGCATGTTGTTAATGTTGGTAAAGATGAAGGTAGGTTAAGTTCCTGGTCTGGACACACATTTAGGACAAGTCTACCCTCTAGACAGAAGTGAACTGGGAAATTTTTGAACTTACTTAGCTAGACCACAACTTACTCAAAACTGAAACGGTATTGGAAGAAGAGTGGAACTGCTTTAAAGAACTTGATTACATTTCTTAATACTGATGAAAATTTTATCTATGGTTGTTATTTTCACTCAGACTTTGTGTGGTTCTCAGGTCTTCAGCTCTACTAGATGCCCAGAGGACAGTGAAGCTTTTCCATGCTATTATAAACCATTCAGTTCTGTTGAGTGATCAGAACACTGCCTCATTCGCTGTTTATCAGAGTCAGGTCAGCAATCAGTTCATTTGGGACATTCAGACGCCATACCTCATCTCATCTCCAGGAATGAAACTGCATGAAAAATGGACTTGTGCAGAGCACTGCAGCCTGCCTGCATAACAACACATGTTGCCCTATTCCCAGGAATACAGACATCACTAAAAGGTTACTAAATCTCTCCTTGGTAACAAACTTAGGAACCCGCGCAAACCCTGTTTTCCATGTGGCCATGACATAATAACGAAGGACAGCAATGTGAAATTGTTCACTCCCCAGGGGAGATGAGAAAGACTTGTTTTCAGACCAACTTCAGAAAAAGTGAAAAGGCACCAAAGGAAAATGCTTTGTTTCCTTTAAGGGACTTCCTTTCAAAAACAGATATGAACTTACTTATGCAAACAAAGAAATAAATGTACAACACAGGCACTCTTAATAAGCCAATGGGTCAACTTCTCCAGTAAGTAGGAAAAGCAGAAAAAAAAAAAAGATGATCGCTGTCACTTTTACTTTGAAAAAGAATATGTCCAGTTTTTCCCTTCTTAAGAATCTAAGTATTTCTACTGGAAAAAATGCAGGCTGCAAAGTTGCAACACATTATTCCCTGTACACCATCATAGGTGTCATTTATTTTCTATATTGAACACAAAGTTATTTTAAATTGTACATAGCCAGATTCAGTCCATAGCTGAACTTCAGTCATAGCTGGAGTCAGTGGATGACTCCTTCATTCACCACTACCCAGCCTTTTCTTCCACTTGGCTATCGGTAAGCATTATCTCTCTTCCCTACTATTTTACTTTCAATAATTGTATTACTTGAAATAGTTTGTAATACTTGAAATACTTTTAATATATTGCCAAAACCTCTTCTTTACTGTCTCATGACGCCCAATTCCTTCAAATTTTAAACTTCTCTCTTTCCTAATGCAGCAGAAACCAACTTAGATTATGTGCTATTTCTCTCTCTGTCTCAGTCTTAAGCCTCATTTGATTAACTGCACATAATAATAACATTTCCATGGAATATGAAGGTTTGCATGATAACTTAAAAATCAGAGATTACTTTTGTCGCTAACAAGAGCTATTCTGCAAGATGTAACTATCTTTGGATCAGAGAGACTAGGGTTCCCTTAGGCAATGCAATATGCTGTCTAAGCAGCTCTCAGAGTCTCTGTTATAGAGAAATGCAAGTTTAAAGACTGTATTTTACCATGTAGCATATATTATAGCCAGGATAGGCAGGCAGTCGAAAGCTACCAGAATTCCTGCATCTGGTATTGCTCAGTCAACTTGTGACAGCCCCTGTGGACACCTGAAATGTTCAGTGTCAAAAGCTTACCTTGAGTTTTCACTGGATCAGATATTTGGCTTGGGTCACTTAATCCATATGCATTAGCTGCCCTCACAAGGAATAGATAAATTGCATTAGGTTTTAGCCCTTTAACTGCAAAACTCTCTGTTTTCACATTTTCAGCTACGGTTTGCCAGCTGCTACCAGACGCATGGCTAAGGATAAAACACACACAACAGCAGGTTAACATGTGCTTCTTTAACAACATGTTATATATAAGTGTAAGTATAGCAAGACCACGAGACTCATATACCTGAAGGCCTCAATTATGTAAGAGGTTGGTGTTGCGCCTGAATTCAAATTAGGTTGCCATGACAATGTTACTGTATTCCTG